CGTGTAAGTATGCTTTGTAAAGTTTGTTCGTGAGACCGATGTTTCCTGTCAGGCGGCAGAATTCCATGTCGATGGTGTAACAGTGATAATGATGGCGGTCATGATTAGGATTGGGTTGGATGGTGACCTGCACATGGTGACCTTCGTGCTTTACTACAACATTGCCTTGTGGGATGATGACACGGCGATCGCTGAAAGTGTGTTGATCTTTGGGGCGTAGAACGAGCTTGTTAACAAGTCCAATCATTGTGCCGATGGACTGGTCTTCATCGACAAGCATGCCTCTCTGGTCGTGCGAATGTAACTCTCCATCCTTATCTATAAAGAAAGAGAGTCCAAGCCGAGGGAGATCGACCTTGACTACAGTCTGGTCTGCATCCACGTTGCCAGTGACAATCAGGTATCGGGAGTTTTCTATGGGACTCAGCGTCTTTGCTATCATGCGGAAAGTGGGGCTGTGAATATCAAAAAGAGTTGAATGGCCCAGCCGTGCAACTGACTGCCCGCCTTCCGTGTATTGCAACACCCAGTTCTTGTCAGACGACTCCCACATTGCCTTCACTGGACGAAATTCAATCGCACAAGTGGTCAAGTCGAGCCAATGTACGTGATTTTTGACCAGTAATTCCGGGATGTCTGGCCGAAGCTTTCCTGGAGGTATCAGCTCGAGGAGGTGCCCTTTCTCATGCTGCGACCGAATGACAACTTCTCCGTTGCGCATCCCAAAAGATATCTGCAAAATGATGGTTAAGTTTTGGATATCATGTTCGACTGTACCAACTCACTTTAAAGCCATTTATGTTGGTCTTCGTAGCGAATTCTGCGCCAGGAATCTTGGAGGGTAAAACATCAAGCACTTGCTATTCGGAGTTATCAGATAGCTGGCTGACTAGCAGGTCGGAAAACTCACATGTTGGAAGAGTAAGCTGTAGCTAGGATGCTGCAGAATATGATCCGGCAGCCTGGCTAGCGGCTTGCCATCGACCAATAGACAAGCCGTCAACATATCGAGGTGTATGATTTGACAGGACGGATCATCAGAAGGCGCCGTTTCACATGTAAGCCACCCAGAGTTTGGAGATTCAAGCACTGTCCAGCGTGTGTGGCGTTGGTGTGTAGACCAAAGATGTTTCATAGCCCGATCAAGACCTTCTTGGTCGTCTTCCACATGGCATCGGAAATAGGTCTCTAGAAAGTGTGACAACCGATGGTTGCGATCAAGAAGCAATCTTGAAATCGGCGGGAGAGTGTCTAGATCTGGAGGCGTGTTATCCTTCACTGTAATAGAGCAGTATACCAAGATCTCCAAGTCCTGTGGCAAGTCAAGAAGCGCTGTGATGTTGTCCGGGTCGACATCATAGGTGCTGCAACAAATCACTGCCATGTCACGAACACGGGCTTGGCGTTCACAACTAGACTTTTCATCCGGAGCTTCTTGCAGAGCTTTGGATAACTCTTGCACCCACTTGAAAGTTGTATTCCGGACAGCTTGCAGCAACTCGTGTGATTCCTGGATGACGTCGTGATCTTCTGCTGATGAGAGAAGGCGGGATACCAGGGCAGAGATTGTTGCCATCGTTGCGCCCTCCAGCCAGTTGGTTTCCACGCTTACTTTTAAGCTCCGGAGCTCATTGATTAGGGTGCGCCCAAAGTTTGAGACTTTCAGTTCATCGTGCCATACCCTGGACCCATTGGCTGAAAGCTTTCCCACCTCCAAACTAGCCTGGAGCAGTAGCAAATGGACCGCGGGATCACGAAACGTGAGTGTGCGTGCTCGTAATTCACGGATAATGTTGATCCATTGCAGAAGGCTGCCGCTACGGAGGCTCCCAAAAGCAATGAATTCGTGAAGCGTCAGCTCGGCATGACACTCAGCCTGATTGGCCAAGACCTCGTTGGAAGTATGCTGTGTACCCGACAGATAACATTGCAGTCCGTGATATGGACCTTCCGGTAACGCATACGTGCAAAGATTAGATACGATATACGTTTGATGGAATCCGGAGGCCCAGACACGATTGGTTGTATCGTATAGGCGGAAACACAGCTCGTTTTTGACGATGGCGTCGCTTTCAGTGCATGGAAATGACTTGCGAGTGGCCAGGGAAGACTTTGTCTCCGAGCCCAATGTGATGCGTTGGCCAGGATGACCGACCTGATGGCATAAGAATGGTTCATAATTCATAAGTAGCATGTGCTGCATTGCAACTTGAGTCGATTTTGTAGTGCATATGTCGTGAAGAAAGTGGAATGTGAGAGATCGCCACATCTTGAAAGCGATCGGGGCATCGAGTTCGAATAAAACTACTGCTGCATCATTGTCGCATTCGGGAAGTGGCCATTCATGAACTTCGATAGAAAGGTTCTCTCTCTCCATCGACTTCTTGCACCGACAGCAATTATTTTTATGTTGTGTTTGACCTCGCCGATCCATGTAAGTGTCACATTTGAGAGCGTTGAGTTCATTCGTCAAACCCAAGTACTTTTTGCTTTTGTCGCGAAAATCTGCAATGCACTTTTTCCGCTCCGCATCTGCTTCATCTTCAATGCGCTGTTTGCATGACTTCAACTTCTCAGATTGATGATAGTAGCGAACTGCGAATGCATCTTCATCCGCGCCATCCGAGAAGATAGAGAAGCCCAAACGCGCATGGTGGGTGCGAGCGACAACATACTGTTGAAGAAGTCCGAGCCTCTCTATGGCGGCAGCTTGCTTGAGGAGAAGGCTATCGAAAATGACACCTGGGATCTCTGGAGAGTACTCCTTGAGAAGAGGGATTGACTTCACAGCTAGCTTGTCAAGCGCGACCCAGAGATCGAACAGCGTGAGCAGCATGATGGATATGTTTTCAGGATTTTTAGAATAACGTTTTTGCGCACTGGCAGAATAACTTGCAGCGCGCGCTTGGATGATCATACAAGCAGCATCGATGTCAGTAGCATCGAGGATGACACGATCTACCCAGCCGCCAATGCCTTGCTCGATGGCACATTCGAAATCAAAGAGCGCTAGAAGGGGGTCCTTGGCACAAACACTCTCGAATAACTCGGCGTCAGGACCAAGGAAGTCATGTATAGTGCCCCGTTGGCGATGAGGAGGTTGAAAATCTGACGCAGTGGGTTGGACATTGGTAGCATGTAAGGCAGCGGTGATGTACTCCTCGGTCTTGGTCAAAGAGAGCCTGGTGTCTCTGGTTATATCTGACTCCGAAGATGCATCCCAATGAGAAGAATCTGCCTGAACCTCCTGAACGTTCTTCCAGCGCAGTTCCAATCGGTCTTTGATATCTTCAGTAGCTTTATGCATCGCGATTGCTAAGAGTCCGTCTTCAGCCTGAAGCTTGACCAAGCGTCGACTAATTTTAGTGGACATGAAGTAGAGTAAATCGCTCGGCATATCGCCCTCAAGCGCTTTGGACACGAGGTCCGTCATGAGCGAAGCCATGAAAGCCTTGTAACCGTTTCGTCCAAGGCTGGTGCTCTCGAGGGATGTCTGCAATACAACCCTTATGACAAGCCAGAGGGATGATCTTCGCCAAGGGAGTGTGATGTTGGACTGTGACCCACTACCGCCTGTAGCATTATTGTTCATAACATCATCGCCTATACGTTTTTGAATACGAGGGATGTCAGCGGGCTTGCCGAATGCGCGAAGAATGTCGGTGAGAAGCTGGGTGATATAGCGAGGATGTGCGGTCTCTCCTTTGTCTTTGGAGGTAGAATCTAACGCATCATAACTCATCTGGGAGAGAAAGTTCGCCAACTCAGGAGGAAAGGTGGGGTTATCGACGACTGAGTTTGATACATCAATTGCAGGCCCTGGATATGAACACAGGAGCTTCCCCTTTGCTGCCATGACAGCAGACGCCCGCGGAGAAACTTCAAAGGATTCAAATATGGTTTTTTCGTCGAGCCTACGAAGTACGACAGCAGCATTTTGTTCCCGAATCAAATACGCGAGAATGTCTAGAGAGAAAAATCTTGAGATTGATATAAATTGCCGGCGCTAAAATTGTGTACATACCTCCTGCTTGCATGGATTTGATTTGCGACTCGACCACACCCTCAGTCAAGGCAGGATAATTCATTGTAACAGCAAGGTTCTCGAGCATCCTCAACAAAGGCCTCCACTGCTCATGCTCGTCGTCAGGTAAAGATGCTGCAAATTTGCGAGCTGAGCCGAGCACGACATCAACAAGGGAGCGATCCCTGTCAGGAGTATGATCATTGTGCTGCGGCAATTTGATGGGACAAAATATGTGGATGATAATATATTCCAAGACATCAGTCTCGGAGGACTCTAAGGCGACAGACATATCAAGTAGCCTTGATTAGTGATATCTGGTGAAAGTTTGTTTGAGAGTGCTGAGGTTACACGGTCTGTAGATGTGGGTTGTAAGCAGGAGATTATAAGGAGCACAAGGGAACCCAAACAGAATGCCTCGTGGCTTGGGATGCCCTCGTGCATTTTTTCTGCGCTAAGCTTCTTTGGCCGATGTGCATGAATATCTAGGCATATACGGTAAGTCGATACCGAAAAATTAAATTTGGTTGTAAGATACCTTCTGATGGACGATAACAAATCTTATTATAGTGCGCCAACCCGCTTGAACCCGGGACAATGACATGATCAACCAAGGTGTATCGAGAGGATATGAAGTTGTCCCGTTCAGAAGAACTCTCAGTGGAGAGAGACTATTCTGGAGAGCTTTCAAGAAAAGAAGCTTTGCACATCTGGCTTGTATTTGGCCAGACTCTTGGAGAAGATCAATTCGACTCGTCTGCAAGCCTAAGTTCGGAATGATGGTTGCTCCAGGCTCCAGCGGCCCGTGGGTCAGTTCAATGTCACGTGACTTTCTCACAGTCTGTAACCTTCTAATTAAGTTCAGGATCATGTGACAGCCGTCGCGTATCAAACGGCCCTATCATCCGCATGCCGCGCCATTAATTTTAACCACCACCATTCACTGCGGACTTGCGTATGCAAGTAATTGTCTGAGATGGATATCCGTATTATCAACAGAAGATATACGGAGTCTGCTCGCCACAAACATTCGTACTTCTGGGATTCGCAGCAGCTCAGACCATCAGATTTTGACAACTTTCGTCCTGCAATCAACTTGAACACCATAATCACCCTTTTGAAACCTCCCGAAGAAGAGAATTCAGGCGAATGCGAAGGAGATTATGCCGTACGTGATAAAGCGCTTAAAGTTGATGAAGGCGTACGAGGAGCTGATGTCGGAGTCGAACAACACGTGGGGAACAAGCGGCGGCGCTCTGCCTCTGCATCACCTGTGAAGAGAAAGAGACGAAGGGTTTCTGAGGGTGATGATGAATTGGATGCTGACGATCAGTCGGAAATGTCCTTGGAAGGATGCAATGACGACTGGCGAGACCCGGTTCACAAGCAGGTGTACCCTTGCATATGGGAAGAACGTCGTTATGAGGAACCAACAGTTGATCCCGAAAGCCAGTTTCTACCGGTCTTCAAATACTCTCTCGAAATGCATTACACGAAATCAGCTCGAGGCGGTGATGAAAACTCTTACGTGCCTGACCAAGAAGCAAAGAAACTTGGGTGGCTTAAGGAGGAACATGATCTCTTATCTCTGTTTAGCGCACTATGCCCTGACCGTTCTCAACCTCAAACATTTGACCTTGCCAGGTTCAGGGTTCAGAACTACAAAAGTCGCTTGTTAGCTCTTTCGGGCGAGCCAGACTGTCCCATAAACCGCTATCCTGAGGAAATCGAGGAGAAAAGTGAGCGGTGGTTCTTCCTCCTTCCTCAAGTTGCATGGCCGAATGCACCCGAAGAGGAAGAGGATGCCACGCCACAGCATGATGATCTTCTGAAGGCACTTTTCATCTTTCAGTCGTTAGGTCGTGCAAAAATCGACACAACCGTTCAGGTGATCACCCTTCCTGAGGGTGGCTACGACCCTGTAGAGGAGTTGCCTTTTCGGCTGTGCGCACATTTCAACGTATCCATCATCGTGCCCAGATTGTATGAACCATTTGACATCAAGAAGATTTCCCAGAATCGCGTTTCCGAACTCGAAGGATTACAGAGACGCTTGATTTCTCTGTTTACCCTAACTTCATCGGCAGACCAGCAGCTATCCGGCAGTGAACATGATACAAGAGGGGACGCAAGTATTCCATTCTTCTACGGCATTCTTCGCCCAGCACCCGCTCTTTCGCAAGGCGTGACATATGAGTCCCTTCAGCCTGAAGGCTTGTTGCCAGTGCTCTTACCCTTCCAACGGCGTAGTGTCCAGTGGATGCTCCTACGCGAAGGGAAGACAGTAACTCAAGAAGGCGGTGTAATTCCCTACACTTCTCCCCAGTCCCGGTTCTTCATGCCTCCATTTTGGGAGAAAATTTATCTCGGGGGCCGGGAGCACTTCTTCAATACGCTCGTCGGCGTCGTAAGCTCTTCTCCTGTAGAAGACAACGTTGCACTAGGGGGCATACTTGCAGAAGAGCCAGGTACCTCGCAATACTATTGATCTCACTCGCGTTATATTAATGAAGTGCAGGGCTCGGGAAGACAATTGAATGTATTTCCCTCATTTTATTGAACCCAGCACCCGATCGCAATCCTACCAACAAACGGTGGGATGCCGAAGCTAAGCTGGAAGTGAAGGAGATCAAGGTAGTGCGCCTACGTCCCATCTGGAATACCAGTTGATATAGACATGCAACAGACTACTCTCATCGTCACTCCCCCTGCGCTCGCACCTCAATGGGCAGACGAGCTTGCTGTTCATGCCCCAGGGCTCAAGGTGCTCATCTACGATGGTTGGTCCAAAGTCGGTGTGCCCATCACCCTGGGTGATGTTGAAGACGAACGAGAACGACGGTGCAGTGCCCAGAAGCATAAAACTGGAAAAGACGGGTCAGTTCAAAAAATCAAGAAAGGGAAAGCAAAGGCAAAGGCAATTCACGACAAGGATGACGACATACTTGATTGGTGCTCCTATGTGAACACATTTGATGTTTGCATCACGACATACAACGTACTCCGTCAAGACTTGACTGTTGCCCGCGCACCACCCAAACGTTCTCATCGTGCACAGGTGGAGTACTCAAACCTTGACCGTCCTAGAAGTCCACTTGTCATGTGCGAATGGTATAGAGTGATTATGGATGAAGTACAAATGATGGGGACCGGCAAATCCGAGTAAGATCTCTTGTTCTATTGGTGATTAATTGACTGGATGATTCTGGCCTTCAGAGAGATGGTGTCTTTGGTCCCTCGATTATCTTCGTTTGCGGTATCTGGTACACCAGCCCGTACTCAGGTTTCTGATCTCATTCGTGTTTTAAGGTTAGATAGACTGACGCGTTTTATGACGATACACTGATACCACTGACAGGTTCTTGCGTGTCGACAATGTTGTCGGTCCAGCTCGCATTTGGAATCGTTTGATGAAGCACACATTCAAAAAACAATTTGCTGACCTATTTCAACGATATGCTATCCGGTGAGTGATTTAACGAAGGAATCCTCCTCAACCTTATTCAATGCATGCTAGAACACTCAAGTCCGCAGTCAAGGACGAATTGACCATCCCGCAGCAGCGGAGATATCTCGTTAGTATCGAGCTGGGAAGAGTTGAACGTCACGTAAGTCATGACGCCCTTGCTGAGAGACAAAATATGACGGTATCAAAGGTTTATGATCACCATCTCGAGGCAGCATTAGTTGAAATTGGTTTGGACACGCGCGGAGTTGCTGCTTCTGAAGGATGGCAGATTGACGCTACTCTGCTGCGAAATGTGTTGAGAAAGCTTCGTGGTATCTGTACTCATCCTCAAGTCGGACAGTTGCAACGGCCAGGTGATAAGCCAGGTGCCCTCAAGAGCATCGGCGACGTTCTCGAGGCATGTGTTTTTCCTCTTTTCTTAATCCGTTGGGCTCATAGATGTCAGGCTATGAGAGACCAGAACTGGCGTAATTTCATGGATGATCGTAAGGCGAAGGTAAGCGTCGTCGTTCTTAGTATCCGTGCTTGCAAGAATTGATTCATCCCTTCAGGTTCAAGCCCTTGTTCGCTTTGCCCAGCTCCAACAACACAACGAGCAGAACCTTGATCGATACCAACGTGCTTTGGATTACCTCTTAACGGCAGAGCAAGAAGCAAATGGAATAATCGACGACATTAAAACCACCATAGCAGAACACCAAGTCAAAGGAGAGGCGCTGAAAAACGAAGCGCGAACTCTCCGAGAATCTCGTCAGAAAGACCTCCCAGACCTTTCAAAGACCAACAAGGGCAAAGGAAAACGAGCAATGTCACCTCTCACCGATGTAGATGAGGACATGGATGACGTTGAAGATGTTGAAGACCGAGGTCTTCCCAAGACCCCCGCGGGCGAAGAGCACAGTATCAAGCGGCGGGCCCTGCAGCAGCGCTTACGAGAGTGTCTGATGGTCTTGCACCGTGTCAAATTTTTACAGGGAGATGTGTATCATGTTCTAGGTGCATCGCAGTCAGATAAGGAAGATGCCGCGTATGCTGCGGCTGAGACGCTGCGAAAAAATTTACTGAAATGTACGTATTCTCAACAGATTTCCTTACGTTTCCACCGACAAGGCATGTAGCGACGGAGGAGAGTACCAACAAAGCGATGAACCCCCTGCGTGCCGACGCTACTGGACGAGGCGTTACCGAGGAGTCCTTACAAATCCCACTTCCTCTTCTTGATAAAGGCGGAATCAAATCGACGCTTCTCGTGAGCTCCCTTCCCAGGAATGTTCAGCTTTTTGTCGATACTGACACTAGTCTGGGCAGTTTGACGAAGCCAATGACATCATAGAGCTCGCATTGAATGAACAGACTGCTCTTCTGTGGGAGTGGCGCACTCGCATCTATGCGTTGTTGACTCAGAAGTTGGCTGCAAATAATGACCAAGCCGATGGGGAGGAGTATTCTCGTGCATTGGATACTCAGGGTGAGGCCGAAATATATATGCAGGCATATGCCGCACTTCTTGCGGATCGTAGAGAGGCAATTTCTTCCGAACGAACGCTCCTTGCTGCGCATGATGCACGGGAGCACAAAGTCCGACGAACCAAAGCAGCCGCGAGAGCAGCTGCTCAGGCAATGTCGGAGGATTTCGAGATCCCTGAGAATGTCGAAGTTCAACCTCAACATGAAGTCCTGCACAGAGACCTCACAGAGCAGCGTAAAGATCTCCATGACCAGTTCTCTGGGAGAGCACTCCGATCTATCATGGTCGATCTGAGTGCTGTGGCCGCTCGCATCGCATCTGAGAAGGACCCTGAGAAGGTCATCGCCAAGGATGGCGCAAACTCATTACGAACCTTGATCGCGCAACAAGGTTTGTCACCCTGATGTTGTAGCTACTTCGTACTCACTATGAATATAGTGGCGCTCATGGACAAGCTTGATGCTGACTTGAGTCAACTGCGGAAGATCTTCAACGAACGTATCCTGTACGTAAGTTCACGATCGACGCTGATGCATACTAACACTAGTCAAACACACCCACAGCTATTTCCGTCAACTGCAGGAAATTTCTGATACAGTCACAGAAGTCCTGTGGGAGGGTACCGTTGTATTGGCTATGGAGGAATGCGCAGCTGAGCGAATGGAATTGGAAGGCAAAATCAACACATCCCGCGCGCGTCAGCGGTACCTGAACCATCTAGCAAAAAACAAAGAAGAGGGCATCACTGATGAGGATGACGAGGCTTGCATTCTTTGTAGATGCGACTTTAAGCGAGGATTTATTACTCAATGGTAAGTCGACTGTTTCTTGGAGTTCCAGGAATGCAGACCCATGCACTACTCATACAGCGCGCATGTTTTCTGTGAAGTTAGTTCAACATTTTTCTCGTCATGAACATTCCTGACGCACATCTAGGGATGTATAAAGGCTTGGGTCAATCGCAAAAATGGAAGAGCTTGCCCGGTTTGCCGGTGCGTCCCTTGTCTGCTAACAAAACACCACAACAAACTGCGTTTCTAGCGTCATTATCAATGTCGATCAATTGCAACGCTTCACAGTCAAAGTAGACAAGCCTGCCCCTGCTAAACTCGTCATGGCGAACAAAGAGCCCGCTCCGGTGTCTCGAAGAGAAATCCAATACAACATGATAAGTGAGGACGTCTAGTCACTCGGTTTGTAGCTTATCTGATATACCCCACTAGACCATACAATCTTTCAGGAGATACAGACTATGGAATCAAATGGAAGTTACGGCAGCAAAATACAGGCCCTGGTCAGACATTTATTGTATATCCAGTTCACCGACCCGGGTGCAAAGAGCATTGTATTCTCGGCGTGGGCCGATTCATTACAGAGTCAGTTTTCCGAAGCTTTACTCCTCTGTAATGATCTAACTTCTTTCGCAGTCATAGAACATGCCCTTAATTGCAATGGCCAGGGTTTTTCTCAGCTGTCTTGGCTAGCGTTCTGACGGACTCGCAGGTATCCCATACTTAAGACTCGACTGCGCAAAGGGCAGAGGCAAAGACAGCGGTGCTAAAAAATTCCGCACAGATCCTGCCCTACAAGTATTATTACTACACGGGTACGCCCTCAGCGTATACTTGTTCATACTCTATCTTCACACTTTTTCAGGGAGAAAGACAATGCTGGCTTGAATGTGACTTGTGCCTCCCGTGTGTTCCTCGTCGAAAGCGTAGTCAACCATGGTTTCGAAGTTCAAGGTTGGCTCGCTTTTGGTTTTCAATTCTACAACCACTTCATCGATCCACATTAGCTATTGCACGAATCGATCGTATGGGACAGACTCAGCCGACGGAAGGTATGGGTCAAACACCCTGTTTTGTTTACTTGCTTCTCAATTTACTGCCTTCTAGTCTTCTGCTATTACGCCGAGGGTATTACCTTCTAGTGCAAGATGTCATTTCACCTTTCATTCCTAATTTCTTTCCGATAGACACCGTGGAGAAGAATATTCTCGACCTAGCGGCTCGGCAAGGCCTCTCACTCTACACCAAGGACAATTCCGCCGGAACACTCAACTTAACACCCTTCGCCATGGATGCCGGAAAGAAGACCGTCGAATCTTCAGGGAAGAAGAACCAGGCACAAAAAGGCGACTTTATCTTCAAGTAAGATTCACCCCAATGTGCTATTTTCACATTCTTACCACGTGCGGGCGCCAGAGTCAACGACATGCTGGCCATCTTGTTTCCTCATATGTTCGAGGAGATCCAGTACCTTCTTCCCCCAGAAGAACCCAGTGATGAGATCGCCATGGAAGTAGAACCAACCGGGCGGCGCGAACAGCTAAACGCAGAAGCCGGACCTTCGAAACTCCCATTTTGAGCCTCCCAGCTTGCGCATGTAATGGGATAATTACATAAATTCATAAAATTCACAATAGTATTGAAACATGATGCTTGCTACTGGAGCTAAACATAGATTATGGGATGGGATGTGACCGAGACATGCAATGCTATGATGAGGAATCATGGAACGATGAGATAAGAAGCTAGAGAGAGACAGATATGTCTCTCGACGAAGAATTCCCGAGTTCACGAATCAGAGCAAAATAATCAATGGACTAGAAGACTCCGCCATCCCAGCTCGCTCTCTTCCGCTTATTATCGCTCGCTTTGCGGAAATGTAGATCCTGTGGGGAGACAAAGCTCGTCCCGCGATGATGCATCGTGTGCGACTGACGTACGGTGGTGCCTGTCAGAAGCGCCTGCGCCTGCTGAAGTTCCTGGGAGACTGTGGAGTACGGTACCGGAGGAGCCGACTTCTGAGAAGGATGTGAACGAGCGAGGTCCAACGCTTGCCCCTGACGTGAAGTATCAATGGTCATGGGGTTAACATCATGTCCGTCAGTAGCATGGCTGCTGAAGTAGTGCAAATCAAGGTAGGGAACGCCGTGGAAATCAGTAGGGTTTGAGGGTCGCCACAAGTCTGGCCCTGGTGGTGACGAAGATGGTGCATGCATAGATGCCAGATCAGAAGGATGCGTGAGCGGGACGGTGTCGAAGAAAGGGAGTGAGCGAGTACTCGTGATCTGTGGTTGTGATGCACCATGACTCTGCGACAGGTGGGTAGACATATACCGGTGTTCTGATGGGGGAACTGAGATAGACCGACCATGATGAGACGATGCGTGCATGTGGGCATGACCCCGTAGAGGGCGAGTCGAGGTGATGGGTGTTGCAGGGGGAGTGGAATGCGTCAAGTCGACAATATCATCCATGTTCTGCTGCGACATGGTATATATTTCCAGGGCAGAGAGGCTCAAAGACGCCTCTGAATCATCTTTCTGCACTCCAATCTCACCAGTGGTCTGAGGGGCATCACCCGAAATCTCCGCTTGGTCATTGAGTGTGATCGACGCCAGTTCGATCTCATCAATACCTGGCAGTGCAGGGGTGTGAATCTGGAGAGGATGTAGACCGGTGGCTTGCTGCATCCCTGAGAGTCCAAGGCCAGATGTACCAAACCCGAATCCGGGACTGTAGTATGGCTGCTGGGGTTGATGTGTCCGTGCACCGAAGATGAGGTCACCGGCATAGTTGGAATGATGTGTGAACCCCCTGAAACTGCTCGACGCAAACATCTCATGGTCCGAAAATGTAGAATGTGAGTCCCCAACGCCGACATCAGAGGTGAAGTCGTTTGGAAAGGAGCTCGGAAAGAGGTCGTAACGATCGACGACGCCGTGGTTGAGGTTATGAAAGGAAAATGGAGATGATGGTGCAGGAGACAACCCGTCGGCAAATGATGATCCGCTACTGGAGAAAGCAGACGTGTCGAGTCGGGGGTTGGCAGAAAACCAGTCTTGCGGACCCCAAGCCGACTTTCCAATAGTGTTCAGGCGACGATCAAACAGAGAGTGACCAAGCAGATAATCAGAAGAAATATGTGATGATGTCGGAGAAGCGGTGGTCGCGGACCACGTCGCGGAGTTGAGAGGTGTATCTATGCTGGACCAAGTCTGTGACTGAGAGGAGTCCGTGAGCTCTGAGAGAGAGTGCGATGCACTGGGCATAAAATCAGGAATAGATAGTGGCTCGGACAAGGGGTCTATCGTCTCCATGTCCATCTCCGCAAGTCCGTCTGGCGAAGACATATCATCAGGCTGAGAGGTGTCGTGCATAATTGGTGGGCATCTGAACAGCCTGGTGACGCCTTCCTCCTCACCACCTGAGCTATCGTCGTCTTCAGAGCATGTTGCGCTCTCGGGGACGCTCTTCGTCCCACCTCTGAACATACCCTGCCTCGACTGCACGCGCTTCCTGCGGGCAGGACCTATGTGGCTGCTGTGCGCAGTCAACTGATCATCAGTTGCTGAGCGAATGGGAAGTGGCTGGACACACTCTCTCCGCTTTTTAGGCGCATTCCGTGGCTTATAGCCCGCTGCTTGATACAGCTCAGGAAACGCGTTGCGGAAACGGTCACGGAGGTCAGTCGAGCGTCGATTCTGCTCCTGGAAGACAGGGTCTTTGACTATCGTTGCCCATACGGTGCCGTGTTTCTCATAGCCAGCCTTGAGAGCGCGGTCCTCTTCTTCAGTAAACGGACGACGCTTCTTACTACGCGTTTTCTCAAAGATGGAGCGTCCATCTGGGAGAGTTGACCGAATCTTACTGGAGAGATGCGTCTTCGCATTGGGGTAGTGTTCCTTGTACGCGTCAGGAAAGTAGGTGCGAAACCTGACAGATGTCAGGTATAAATATGAACAAGCGGAGATTAAGGAGTACTAACCGGTCCTTGAGGTCAACAGGCGAGCGGTTGTCAAAAGTCAGTTTCGGATCTTTCAATATGGCCTTCCAATTGCCGACGCCCCACTGAGGGAACAGGATTAATATTGTGTGAGACTATTTGAAAGCCGTATGTACCGTGTTGCATCCCTCGACGAGCATTTGGGTCTCTTCTTCGGACCATTTCTTGCGTGGTTTCTTCTGCTGGATTATGAAAGAGCCGACTGATTCACGGTAGTCGCCATCACCAGCGATCTTGCGCATCTTTCCCTTACGTTCTGGCATTGGTGCAGAGGTTTCAGCAACATGCGAAGTAAGGCCGGTGTCGTCACGAAAATTCCACGCTGGTACAAGCCTGGGGGAGGACGGAAGCGCAAGCGACACGCGTCTCTGCTTTAGCGCGGAAGAGGTTGATGACGCTGAGGAAATGGAAGAAGATACTGCAGGAAAGGGGGCTGTGAAAGAAAAAGTGACAGCAGTTGGAGGTTTACAAGTCAGGTCTGCTGATTCTGACATTGCAGATGTTCGACAAAGACAAGTCCTGGATGAAAATGATAATCTTTTGAAGAGTTATAATGAAAACCGGGAGAAGTAGAATCGGATATGAATTGCAGGAGGCAGACCTCGCGTGAGGGTATCACCGGACACGTTGATAGACGGGCGTTGTCACTGTACCGTACAGCCTGCTCAGATAGTTCGAAACGGTTGAGTCGTGGATTGCAATGAGGACAGAAGAAATTCGGAGAGGATGAAGTACCAGATTTGACTAACAGATTCTTTGAAACTAGTTTAGGTTGTTGCTGGACAGCAATGAGCATGCTGTTAGTACTTCACACCCTAAATGAGGAAGCCTGCATTCGATAGCAGTGCCTCTTCCCCTACTACGGCTTAAACCCTCCTTCCCTACGGTTCAAACATACTCATATCAATTCCATATCCCACTCATCAGTTCCCTCTATGTCATGAACAATCTGCATCGTGCCTCAACGTGCTCCTCGCAAACCACCGTTATAACCTTCGTATCTGATCCGGAACCGTAAACGTGTTCCTTCTAAAAATTCATACAATGAATGCATGCAGCATGTCACATCGATCATTCTTGCTCCGGGATAATCTCCTTGGCACTCATTTCTACTTTACAGGCATAGTGAATATACTCATGCCGCCGCAGACACATGTGGTGCCATCCTCTGCTCCACACTCCCCAACTTATCTATCCACGCTCCAAGTCGTGTCGCGAGCTCGCCTATTTGTGCGCGCGACAGAACACGAGGCTGGACCCACGTGATACGCGCTTTTTGATCCACCTGGTCCAAGGAACCTCGAATCAACTTGAGGCTAGCGGCAAGTACCGATGTCAATTAGATTATCAGCACATGTAACGCCCATATTTCAATTCAACGAAGAATGCACTGACCTCAGTGCTTTCATGATGAGGTGTTCCACTTCGTCTACCGGAAGTCGCGTCTCCTCGGCGATAGTCTGGAAAGACATCGTTCGGTCATTCGCGTTCCGTTTGAACACTGATTCGATCAGCGCCATCAAACATATCTTCTGTCGAAGGAAGGGGTAGTTCTCTTCCAGAATCGGCTGTGGCAGAGCTCATTTGTCAGATTGTCGGCTCGACTCGGTACGAGTCTCCGCAACAACATGCACGTACCTCCTGCGGAAATAGTGGTGCCAATGCTTCGAATTTGCCAATGTTGCCTTCGTTGAATGTGAACAAGAGCTTCTTGATCCAATCATACTGCGTGTTGTCCAGCGCGTCGAGTATTGGGTGCATCAACTAACACCGATGAAGTCAGTCAACGATCATCCTCAGGCTGTGACCGATGAAAGTGGGTGTTTCAAATTCACGTATCTGCTTACCAGCTCCCCAAAATTATAGATAGTGTCGCCGAGGAATGCCGAAATGCCAAGGTCGTGCGCGCGCAGCAAACGTTCTTCTGAAGTTAGATCTGTTGCTACATCGACACATGCCAGATACAGCAGCGAATGTTTATAATACGGCGCATATTCTGCTTTGGCCTGTTTCCGGTAAGTCAACGGGGCGCATTGCAACATTCTCGAAAATTCTTGCCTTATAATAGTCAGCGGCAACTTTGTAATACGAAGCATTGACGGCAGTGTCGACCCCTTCCAGTCGATCGAGTGTTTTCCAGGCAGTATCCATATCCGTCTTGGTACCCTCTAAATCACCGTACACCAGCTTTGCATATGCAATATTCGCAAGCAGCAGCACGTATGCCTCCTGTGATGTTTCGGCATCAATGCGTGAAAGTAAGGAGTTGAGGAACAGAAGCTGGCTTTGCGGGTCTTAACGGGACGTCAGGTTGGATCATCTAGGAATTGGGGGTCAAACCTACTGTCGATCTCCTTCGATACTTTAGTTCCCATCTCCACGAGTTTGAGTTGGTTCAGTTTGGACTCAAAGTCGCGCACGAATTGCTCAAACACGTTCACACGGAAGGGTCGTGACAACGGGTGGTCAAAAAACTCATATAGCTTGAGCGTCAGTTGGTGCCATAGTCTGTGTGATCGATGAGTAATGAGTATACTGTATCAATCACCCTCTTACTTTCTCGTGTGGAGTTTGCCGAAAGATTCAAAGAATGGATGGAGTTCCGCTGGCGTAGCTGACAGGGCAGTCGCAACGAACTTATCCAGATCCAGTTTCGGAGGTTTGGGTAGCTCTACTGGTACTGATGTAGATGACGGCATGGTTTCCTCACTACAAGCAACGTGGCCTGTGGTTAATGTCCTTGTAATTTATGAGAATTGAGTGTTGCGGTGAAATAGGCGTGACGCGTACGTTCTGTGCCACGCAAGGCGGAGAAGCGTGGTAGCGATAATTTGGCCATGTTTGACAAGAGCCTTCAAAAATAACACCGTCAAATAGTACAGTGATTGCCACCTTGTCACGGACTGCTGCGATCCAGATGATGGTGATTGCGAGTCAGTCATGATGACTAGACGAAAAGAAAGTCAACGGTCAAGGGGGAATTCCATAAACTTAGATTACAGAGTCTTCTCATAGACTAAGCATCTACAGCACATCGCCTGTGCCAGCCATAATAAGATTGTACCCACTGTCAACAGACCCACGTGGTTTCGGTACATCAGGCCTTTGGAAAGAAGTTCCTGTGGCATGGACTATACATACTAGTAGTAGCTTATGTTTTGTGAATTGGTGATGGTGGAACATCAATCAGTGTCAAAACGCGGTAACTTTGACCGTCAATATATACTTGCCATCATCAATAGCACTCTTCCAACTTACACGTCCATTCTGGAGTCGTGATTTCGAAGCACTTGGCTGCCGCGGCGTAGCCTGCACTGCAGCTTGACTATGGCTGCGGTCCGCGAGCGCAGTGTCACGTGATGTGTTAGATCGGAGCTGGCAACTGCCGTTCCAGTATCCACACCGCACTTATCTTGATCGCGATTGTTTCCAGCATACTGCATCTCTCTCATTATCTTATTCAATATGGTGAGCAACACACGCAATAACAGGGCATATCCTGATAGGCTCTCGATAGTCTTCCGGTGTGACACCAGCTCCCGAATGTCTCCAGAGATTTGAACAACTGAAGATGTCCAAATCGCTGAAGTACATTTTCTTCAAATTGAACGATACCCGGACGGAGATCGTCGTTGATAAGACTTCGGATAGTTCTGATTACGAAGAATTTCTGGACAACTTGCCTAGCGATGGTTGCAAATGGGCCGTCTACGACTTCGACTATAAGTTGGAAGATGGGTCGCAGAGGAACAAGCTCTGCTTCTTCTCCTGGTAGGTCCGCAGTTGCATCTGGCCGATGATTCATTATTTTGAGGCACCAGTTTAACTACTTTATGTGCTTAACTCGTAACCACAGGTCACCAGACAATGCACCCATTCGGGCAAAGATGGTCCACGCATCCTCAAAGGATGCGCTACGGAAGTCGCTACAGGGGATTAGTGTGGAGATCCAGGGAACGGATCTAACGGAGGTTGCATATGAAACCGGTCCGTCTTACCTATGTTAATTACCAGGTCGCGATTATTGATCACACCATCCAGTCCTCGACAAGGTGAAGCGCTTCATCCGATAGGTAGTTGTACCAGTCTGGTTTGATCTGTGATGTTAGCTGTGAGTGCTCCTCAACTGTTCTCACGTTGTCAGTCTTACGAATATGTCTCTCAGCAGAAGATGCACATTACTGTAAACCTTGTTTTGATGTAGTAATCGTGAAGATAGTTGTATAAAGCTGCAAAGGATTCACACTACGGTACGAGCAGATGTAGTCAAGACTTTTCTCAATTATGAAGCGTCCAAAATCCCGTCGATCGATGCTTATAGAGCATCGTTGCGTAGTGAACAACGTCGAAAGTGGAACACCGTGCCTGGTAGACACTAGATGAGAATGACTGGTAAAAATATGCTTACCGGCGAAATCAGGTATGGCCCTCCAGCGCTTCAGCGTTGGATGTATTGAATTAATGCTGTGTACTGAGCCTATTTATAGTGCCTAATACATTTTACGATACCATGTAAGGGTCACGATAATTGATCTCTGATGGCCCTACGTTGAACGCAGCCCGCCGCGGCCTCAAATCTGTAGTCTTTCGATGCCTTGTAGTACATGCAAGATCTTGCAAGATGCTGAAACAGACTTTATCGACTTCCATTATCTCGCATACTACCTCACATGGCAGCTCATACAGCGCTACATCTTGTGCACAGCTTCCCTTGTTTCAAACTTGCGGTATATAAATATCTCGCTTGTAAGGCACTTTGAAGAACTAAACTTGTAATTCGGCAGCATTACAATGGCCCTGCTTGTTCCTTTCTTCCGACATAATGCACAGAAATCAGGGAGCGATTCTTCGTGCCTCACAGAGTGATTCACATTATAAGTCACTTCCTGCTAGCAAGTGCAGAATTATCCAAAGTTATTTGGAAGCTCCATCTTGTTTGGCAAGAGCCTTTAGAAATAACAGTACCAAATACTTCACAACGGCACCTATGATGTGACGTGCCAAGATTGACCAATGACCGGTCGAGATGTCAGGCTGAGTGCGCAATTATACGCCAACGGCGTCAAATGCAAGCCTGGGTCGTGCGCGTAAGCTGTCCTTCAAAAACCAATCCTCTTGGCATGGAGTGGGTACGACAAGGAGCCAATGACAAGAGATCTTCGAAGTTGTCCCATGCAAGGGACAAACACGTAAAGGTGGAGGCGAATTACACCTAGATGGAAAGCCGCATTGCAAGTGCCCCATGAGCCTCGTGCATTTCTTTTCTTCTCCCCCTCAAACAGCGACTCCTTCAAAAAACGGGACTGCGATAGCGCAAAACTGTCTCAACCAACAGCCTACAAACACCATCAAGGCTTTTCTGTCTCTGCTGCCATGGATCCAAAAATACCAGTATGTCACGGTGGCACGGATCTATGGCACATATATGAACTTGACTCAACTACTTCCTCCAGACATCTATCGTACGACTTTTCCAGACGAACTGTGTTCCCTCTCCAATGGATACGCAGCGTATTAGCTGCCTCCTCGCAGAACAGAAGCTTGAACTTGAGCTCATTAGGAAGGAACTAGATCGCGCTCGTGCAGAGGTTTTGCGCCTCGAGGCTAAACATTTTGGAACTATGGAAGTGGTCCAAAAATTGGAAGCGCTAAGGTCTCCCGTCCGCCGCATGCCAATAGAGATCATGGCAAAAGTCTTCGAACAATGCGTTCAGGACGAAGAAAGTCAGGAGCCTGATCCTCTTCGGGCTCCCTTGTTATTGTGTCAAGTTTGCGGCGCTTGGAGAGACCTCATGTTCTCCCTACCTTGCTTGTGGAGGAAACTCAAGGTTGGGTTTCCATCCCTAACGCCAAATTGGGAAAACGTCATGCAGTCGAAAATTATGTCCATGCACGTGTGGATATCGCGCGCGAAAGCTCTTCCAATTTCCCTAATCCTCCAGCATCCAAGCAGCTCTCCGATCACACCGGGTGCTCTTATGTCACTTGATAAGGAGATTTTGACTCTCGGATGCCGCATTGAAGAGCTTTCTCTCAGATTTTCTCCATTGGCACTCAGCTCCTTGTTGACATTCACCCAAAGTTCACTCCCGCACTTACGGCGTCTTGAGCTTCATAACAGCAACCCCCTTCCTAGTAGTAGCGACAACCCACCTCCATTGTTTCTTCATGATGCACCCAACCTCCGCAGCCTCTCGGTTGCGTGGGGTAGCCTCGACACCGCCCAGTTCTGCGTCCCTTGGAGCAAACTGACACAGTTATCTCTTCAGTATGACGCCAGCCCCTACTGGAATCCCGTTCACAACGACTACCTCAATGTGCTTCGTGAATGTCCTAATCTCAAATGTTGCTCTATCGGAATAGGAATGACAATACTCGACGCTGATACAGATGCGGTTGTACCTGTCACACTTCCAAACCTCGAATCAATGAAAGTACGCCTCTTCTGCCAAACGCTCTACACTCGCCAGTTCTTCGATGCACTCCATGCACCGAAACTGCACACATTTGAATTTCAGAACGTCAGTCTTTCTATGGGTTCGTTCGCTAGCCAGACGGAACCCCTTCCCTTTATCTCCCGAAGTGCGGAGACTCTCGAGAACCTATCCTTTGACACAATCAACATCCCAGATGTCGACATGCTCTCGTGCCTCTCTCAGCTTCATCACTTGAAACACCTACGTTTCCTACCTGGCCCTCTTCAACTCAATCACAACCTCGTGGACAGCCTCGTTTTATCCGGAGCGCCTCAAGGCACCTCCATCTGTCCTCGACTCGAATCATTGAGTCTCAAATGCTCAAAGCGTGTTTCCACGGACAGGGTGACAGAGCTTGTAGAGTCGAGGTGCAGTGCTAGTCCGAAGTTGGGAGAATTTTGCTTGCAAATCGCAGCATTTGACTATGGGCAGGACTCACGAGACAAAACAATTATTGAGTTGAGGGAACGTCTGAATCAGTATGTGGAAGGTGGATTGCAGCTATACCTGATGAAGGCGAAGCCGACGGGTTGATGTGATGTTGACACTCAGCTATTAGTTGTGCGTACCACACCCTTTTACTAGCTTGTCAAAATTCTCTTGTTCTCTCCATTCTCATTCACAATATTAATTACTGACGCATTCACATATCCGTACCCCTGATGATTATTTCTTGCCTCGCGGAGCGTCTGGCCAAGATTCCTTTTCTCCCTTCATCTCCTCACAATCCAGTGATAAAGAAGTTGCTCTTGTTGTATTTTAATGCTTTGATAGTGTCTTAATAGATGACGGTGATCTAGAACAACCATGGAACCAGTCTGTAAGGCACCCTGTTCATGTAACTTTTCCACTGGTCTCCGAATTTTCCCTGCAACATCGCCTCCTCCTTCTGGATTCGCCCGCGCAGTCCAGAATAAAGCAACCCAAGCCAACCTGCCCAAAGGCATCCCAAAGTCAACCTGACCCCCTGGTCTGACGAAGGAAACACGCCCGAACAAGAAACCATCCATGACAGAGTGTGCAAATGACAAAGCAAGACGCCCAGAAAAACACACAATCCACCGGTGTAGCTAGGGTGTCGAACGATGGAATAAGGGCCAGACGTGACCAGCTTGTGATCCTGGCGGATACTGAGTTCGAAAGTGAAGAACTTGCCTAGCGTGGAATAGCACTGGAAACGAATGGCGCTGCCGATGACGCTCAGACAACACCCAGCTACAAGTGCGGCAGACGGCGTTGTACGGTCCAAGCTCGATAGCGAACACAAGTCACTGCGGACTAGAAGGGCAGCGAGCGATTGCGGGATGGCGGTCGATTCCTTGCCCGTTGTGTATGCGAGGATGATGTCTGACAAAGCGCAAACGCCGATGATGCTCTTGGGGGGTAAACGTTCAGTTAAATATTGGGCAAGATATTCTGAAATTCGCGCAGGAAAGTACCTTGACTAAAATGTGTATCCAAGGGGTGACGACTTCCAAACCGGTGGGATTCAAACGTTCCTTTGCAGAAGGTCTGGTCGTTGGGGGTGTTATGGCATAATACTGCGCTCCTGTGGCACAGACAAGGAGGCAGATCTTGGCCGCAACCATACTGTTACTGAACCAAGGGATAAAGACACAAGCTACATAGCCTCGATACTGTCACTTGGGGCACATCGTGAAGTCTCCACGTGTCATTCCACGATGTCTCCGCTGTATGTATGTTGAAAACAAGGGTAAACACTCCGAGTTCTTCACCTGCAAGTACAACTCCCATTCCACACCTCATGTGCCCGTAACACTGACTGAGCACGACGGCCTACTTTCTGGCACCTTCCCACGTATCACTGCGATGCCATTAATATTACCAGAATTCATGACCCTAGTCAGGAATCCAGTTGGGGCCTGGTCGCATGTTCACCACACTCACGCTGTCACCAGAAACCATTTCCAATAAGCCTCGTCCAAACCAGCACACAAAGGATTCATCAGATGAACCAAGACGAACCGGATCGAAGCAGCCTTATGGATCCCTTAGATGGCACGACAGATCTCAAGAGAACTAAATTATCGATCATCACGCCAAGAGGACTGCGCACGAAGTGCACCGCTACATAGTCAGGCCTAGGCAGCACCCTGCAAATCAAACCATATCTCCATCCTGTGTTGACGATGTGTGGGCGATTGTTTTGATCGCCGTCGGGTATGAAATCCCAGCGTGCGTACTCACGGAGTCTTCGCCTTGTTTGAAGATGTTTGATTCGACCTACGAAGAATGATACTCTAAATGTGTCCCGACTCATACAAATAGTCATAAGGTACTTGATAGTAGTGGGTATCAAACCGATAATAACCGAGTGGTTACGTCCAGATTCCGGAAAGCTAACAATACAATGAAACGATGATACAATGAATGATAGGACAACGTAAGAAAGCCGATCTCTGGTGTGAATATGAATCATACGATATCTATTGAATTACGCGCCGATTCAGGTGAGTCGGCGACAAGCCGGGGAATTGAATCGATGTCAAGCGAGGGGCCTGCAAGAGCAGGTCCATCTGGTAGTGGAACTGTCTGACCATCGACAGGTGTAGTCGGGAGCGACTCCTTTGATACCGAACCCGCGGCAGTTTCTGTTGGTAGGTACGAAACCTCCTTGACATCGTCGAATGCCATGTTAAACTCGCCAATGGAAATGCTGGTGGAGAATGAATTAACAGAATCGCGCTTCTTTTCGGTACGTTGAACGACGAACACGGGCAAAGTGCCAGTGCGGCTGTTGTATGCCATCTCTGATTTTCCACTGAAATAAACATTTGCTCGTCAGATCGCGTCATTGAGTGTTAAAGTGTGACAACATACCCAACAGTCCAAGACCCTTGCGACACAGTACCAGCGGTCGAAAGACCCACGCGCTTCGCAACCGAAACATAGGCGAGGCGGTAGTTCTTCCTGGCCTCGTCGGCGAACCCGAAGAAACCAAAGAATACGAATGCGCAGACAATGAGGAGCCATCGGCTGAGCTCAAGCGACAACACGAGAGAATCGTTCAGGCGCCAGAGTTCTGATGGAATTTGTTCGACGCGAGAGAAATCGTAGTGCGCGTTGGCCCAACTGATCCAGGGGTAGACTGGTTGGGCAGTAGCATTGAGGTAGACGACATAGGCACCCATAGGGACCGTGCATAACATCTCAATACCAGCAAGACCCATGAGGCGGAAGTAACGACTGGAACTCAGGTTCTTGTTCACAGAAAGGAACTCCATGAACTGGGCCCTACGCTGGGCTAGTTCGACAATAGTGCGGACTGCATTACAAAATGATCAACGTCGGGCTAAGGAAATATCAGAATGAACGTACCACAATAGTAAGCAGAGATGCATCCAAGGGCCAAGGGCCATGTAAATACCAATACATATGCAGGAGGGGTGTTAAAAGTGGCGGGATAACAGCCAATTTCCTCAAAAATATCGAACCGATGTCCTTGTACGATATATTCTGGGGTATTATGTCAATGGCAGTAGGACTCCATTCGAGAAACGAACGTACGCAGAATCATCTCCAAGACGGGGATACCAGCACCAATAGCCAGATCGGTCATGATGTCGTGTCTCTTCTGCGCCCTTGTCTTTGTGACCGAGGAAACTGATGCGATGTGGTAGAGACGACGGTTGATGCAAAGCGAACAAGCGGGGATAGCAACGGAGCTCCCGATTATGAATTTCGCGGCTACAAAATAAAATAAACATGAGTCTTGGCAGCGAGAACAAGAGGAAAATTCTGACAGATATCACACCACACGGGAGCCCAGTTAATCACATTCGTCCTCCAAACGATGGAGTTAATGAACTGGATTAGACACGATAGGCCGGTCCAGGTCATGTAAAGACAAGTTCCAGTGTTCCATGCTAAAGCATTGGTCAGGTCTTGGACGCCTCAAAGATAGTGTATAATGACTGACCTTCCAAATGCCAGGGAAGCGGAATCATACAGCACAAGAATCCGAGGAAAGCAAACATAGAGAACACCCAGTCCGGTGAGTTGAACATCTTAACAACGCAGTTGCTGACGCGCGACGTGAAGACAGGGGCGACTTGTTCGGAGGATACTAGCTATCCTGTGATGGGGCTGAGCAGAGGGAACGTGAAGCTAATATTCATAGCCTCGGGAAGCCAAGCTATTAAAGCCTTCGAGAGCACAATTCACCTTGTCGTCTAATTTGGGCATCCCCTTGTGTCCGGGTGTAATAAAATTTGTTCAAACTTTGAACACTTTGCAGATATCGGCATTACCTTTTTGACGCACAAACTGATGTCTATATATGGACATATGTTTGTTTACAAAAAAGGTAAGGCGAGGAAGCGCAAGGGAAGTGCGCCCAAATGGCGCACCGAAGGGCTTCGATGACAGAACACGGCCACATGATCTCATCAGATATCAGAATATTCAAGAACATCGTCCGATAACATAGTCAGAGCGTCCCGGAATGGAAGTCAATACACATGTAATCGTGGTCCACTTAGCACTGTACTCGGATTAAATAGGACTGATCAATGATATTCGGATCCACTGGCAAATTCTGTACTCACTAGTTCTCATTCAAAAATAAGTGGTACCATGAGGCTTGAACTTTGCGGGAACTTTGCCATGAAATGTAGAATACAAAGTGTTGCCAAGGAGCAGGGTTGAGTTGCACTGAGCGCCGCCGGACAATCAAGCCGCCGCAGCAACTTCAAGGACTGACAGCAATTATACAGCACAGATGGTGTGGGTTCGCAAGCAAAAGGATTCCTCAACGACGGCCCTCATGAACGCTATAAGAGAGTCTCTGTAACAATAGCGATAATCTAAAAGCGACGGACAATAAGTGCGGTAGTTGCCGTAATAATCAAGCGACTCAGAGAATTGCCTTTTTCAGTATGTTTTCTGCAGCATGCTTCCCCTATAGACAGGTTCATGGTCCATGTTGCTATGTAGACGAATGAAGACAGTTTACTATGACGACTGGCCAGCATCCCAGCGTTACGATACTTAGTTCAAAATCTTCAATATTTCGACGACAAAACTGTCATAAGCACAGCGTTGGTTACATTGAAACGGACCCTCAAGTTACTGTGACACCACAACAAAGATTTCATACGATTGAAAGCAGGGAAAGTAACGACAAATACATCATAAAAGGTTGGCAACATACTGCGTTTGATACCACCCGACATAGGGACAATGACCTCGCCGGGATAATAGAAGAGATGTAAGAAAAAAATGGCTAGTCAACATTCCGGAAAAAACATGCAATACACGTTGGTTATTGATACAGACTGTTGGTGAACCTGAAGCACACCAACATAACAGAGAAATATTTGAAGGCGAAACAAATGCTTCAGGACTCGGGAACATGCAAGCAAAAAGTCAACGACCGCGAAGGACAATGGAAGGGGTATACGAGAAAAGAAAATCAACAACTCAATATGCTCCTTGGACTTCCCTGACCACTGTCATGTAGACAGCGTTACGATTCTTTGGATTCCTCGAGTAATTGCCATGCGGCACTGCGGACCCATAAAACGGCAAACCTTCTACGTGAATAAAGTTCATGCTGTGGGGCCTCGCCGGGCGTGGTCGAACAATGACTGTTGATGGGGGTTCAGGCCACTGCGTCGAAGGTAAAAAAAGTTGTTGCGGGTCAAAATTTGATTGGAGAGAATTGTGTGACGATGAGATAACAGAGTAGTTGGAAGGTGAATCCAGAGGAAGGAGCGCGGAATCAAGGAATTCAGGATCTTCTTCCAATCGCTTCGCATCTGTAAGGTCGAGTGATGGGGGCCGCGAGGGGGCAGGCGAAGGCGGAAGAGGTTTATCACATGGATAGCCATGATAAGTGCATGCTGTAATAGATTGAGAGGTGGTATTCTTGAACTCGAGGACGGTCAGAGACGGAACCGGTGTCAAGTCGCTGATGAGATGCATTCAGAATAAATCTGCTAGCGATACAAAGGAACATACCATTCTGTCATAGGTGTACCTTTGAGTTCAGCGATACAGGTAGATCGTCTCTCAAAAAAACTGAGAGCCCTGCGCATTACCTGTACAGCCTCACGCAATCGACTGCGCCCCTCCCCTCCAAGCACAAACAATCCGATAAAGAAGAACGATTGCGCAACCATGATCGCCCATTCAGTGATGAGCATCGCGGTGACTGATTTAGGTGTCGCGGCGGAGCTGAACGACGAGACCTCCGTCAAATCTCGGGTGAAGTCCGCCCACGGAGCCAGCCCTGAGCTTAGATTAAACGACATGGCTACTACAGTCGCGGCGATAGTGCAGATGACTTCTGAAACGGCCATACTGACGAGCCGAATGTAGGCTCCAGAAGTAAGCGAGGAAAATGGACGTGTCCTCGAAAATTGAACGCCATGAAGGAGAAAGTGACGCCAAGTAATGCCTAGAAAGACTCAGCCTCGTAGGGATACAGACCATGATGAAGTCACTTGCCACAAAAAACTATAGTAAGAAAAGAAAGTGCAAGCGGCGGTATCCAGACCACGAACAAAGCCACCACAGTGGGATATATCGCCGAGCGACATCCAAAATTTTCATACACATCAAAACGTCGAGGTTGAACAATTATATCTATTGATAATATCAATAAACGTTGTGGGGGAGCCCGTGGCAGGTACGCACGCAATGCTGCATATACTAATGGAACTCCGAAACACATTACACATTCAAGTAAGATACGGCGTCGCTTTGTTACAGAGGCGGACGTTTGACAAAAAGACGCCATCCGTTCCAGGTGAATACAAATGCAGAGGCACGCCGCGGGTATCGCTACATTTACAGCTGTTACCAGCGCTGAAGCTACAGGAATTGTGAGTTCTCGAATAGAACCGATATCAAAACACTCACTGATGTCACACCAGAATAAAAATGGTATTTGATAGGCCTCGGTCCACTGGAGGGCATCTATAGCATTGATCGTGTTTACAACAAAGAGCCACATTCCAATAGACATTGCAGCAATGTTGCCAGCCCGACAATACCAAGGCAATGGAAAGAGAACAAGTGCCGCGGAAATGAACGAAAGTACTGGTATCTCTGTTTGCATTTCAATAATGAAAGAAATCTGGGGAGACAAAAAGGGTATACAGATCTCTGTGATGGCCTGCTGCATTTCTTTTAATCAGTGAGCTGCGCCTTTGACAGCAGTATGGGATTAAGTACAAGGACGCGATGCCACAAAATCTGTATACTTGACTTTTCTAGATTTGATAAGCTCTCGGCCGAAGAAAGTACAAGGACACATACCATGGCATACTTGACCGAGGAACACCCACATGATAGGGGATAATTGAAATCAGTAAGCATCAAGCAAATGCCCCAATAAGGCATGTTCTAAAGCTTTAAGCTTAGAAGATCGTGTGATTTTTGTACGAAGGAAGCTGTACAGGTAACGGTATAAGTAGAAGAATAAGAAAATGAATCTCACCTGGTACAGACGTCTGTGGTAAATTATGGAGCAGCCTAAACTTCATGGAAGATACGACAAAAGTCTGCTTACAATGGGATATTGATACAAAATTCGATGCACGAGCGTACAGTACGGTTATTCCTGGATACCATAATAATTATGAGGCAAAACGGATCATCTCAATGCGGGGATAAAATCCGAGAAGACGTGGGAACAAGTCCATGCAATGTTAATAGAACAATGGTTGTGAGAAATGAACCTTGAGCGGTAACACTGTTTAAAGAGAGGAATTGGGTGCGTTGGGCGCATAGATGCGTCCCATGAGAAGATACGCCACTACCCGACGGACAGGTAGGGTTGCAAGATCGCCGATGCGCAGGGCGAATTTTAAACCAGGAATACGGAGGTAGGGAAAGCGGTATGGAGCTCTCTTGGGTGCGAAAGTGGCGCCTTCTGGTATCGTCTCAAGCTTAGTGCCAGTACGGGAACGACCGATTTTTGGGGAAGGACGAGGAGATGGTGGGTGTTTGTCTCGGCGAGAGCTGCGTGCCCACTCAGGAAAGACAAGTCCAAGCGGTTCAACCAAGGTTGTGTGGAATGCAGACGCAAGATTATAAGATAAAGCCGAACCGTGCACTGAAATCTCCTTCCTTTCCAGTAACGCTTGCATATTCTGTTCCAACGTCGCGAGCCTTGATTCCTGCGCCGAGTAGACAGCATCATTCTTCCTCTCCTGTTTCCGTAAGGATTTCTCTATCCCCTCGACAGCTCCCTCCACGTGGTCGAAAAGATCTTCGGTGAGAACTTGCACGGTGTCGTTGCATTTATTCAGCTGAGTCTCTAATTCGGCGACGCGCGCAATCAGAACTTCAATCTGCGAGTGCGTGTCTGGTGAGCTGGCTGGGGGGTAGTGAACGACAGTATGCAAATCTTGTGTGCGTTGATGGAGACGTTCTACCGCGTGTTTCCAAGGTCGAATACCGGTGGCGAGAATGAAGAGGGAGGTACTGAACCATGATATAGTCTCCGGACCGGCCACAGATATGATGACGATACGAAGGATTGCGACTCCTATTAACGGCGATAATACAGTGAGGAACAGGTAGAAAAATTCGAGCTTGCGTAACTCTGATGAAGCAACTTCATGGTATGGATCTTGCTCAGACGTTTGACGGGGTGGGAAATCAGGGGAACGACGTCTGGGTCTCGAGAGATGATAGAGGCTCCACGGTACTGTGTATACTTATATTTTCTGTTTCAGAATGAAAACAAGGCACTTACCTTCGATAATTTGGTGCAAATAGAATATCAAGAGAAGAATGAGAAGGAAATTCTTGACGTGATCTCCTCCTGTCAACCAGTTTCCGATGGGCGAAACTAGCGCAAGTATGACAGAAAGGTCAAATTCATACCACCCCTTACTACTCTCGGGTTCAACACCTGAGGACCTTTCCGAGCTCCCATTCTCCTCATGCGGAGGAGTGGCCGAAGGGAATCGGGCAGAAGTTCTAATCGATGGAGAGGGCGTGTCAGAGCCGGAAATCTGGCTAGACTCACTCTCTGACTCCTGATCAAGCGGGGAAGATAAAGCTCTTGTGTCAAGAAATGATCGTTTGACCTCCGGATAGTGGTCCATGGTTTCGTGAAAGCTTGATCGCGCCAGAGAAAATGAAACGTCCCAGCCGTGAGATACGCAGATGAGTTTGTCGTCGCCTGCTGCCGAACGCAAGAGAAGTGGTACAGTCGCGATGGTGCGCCGCGAGTGCGTGAGCGGGGAGTGTTGTTTGTGGGGCCTATGGGATTATATAATCAAGAATGTCATTGAATTTGCATTTAAATATGTAATTCCGATTGCTTCAAATGCAAATTGCTGAACTGCATGGCTCACTGTCGGAGCTCATGCGAGTTTAGACGGTGGATACAGGACTTCTATTGTCCAATACTCAGAACACATGCATGATTCCTCGTACCACACTAACCTTCTGACATTATGCATAGACTTTCAAAAGATGCCCCACAAGTCGGCAGGTGACACATTTTTGGCAGGAAAACGTTGGCAATGACTCACCGTCCATCGCATTTTATCTTGCGAAAAAAGCGCGACTGCTGACCCCTGGGCTTTTCCACGTGAGGGTGTTCGCATGGGTGTGCGCTGATTCTACAGCCACAAGGAAATACATTGTTGCATCTTCGATATACTACTAGTATGTGGTACAGTATAAGTAGTTCGAGAGAAAACCCACAAGTGGGGAAAAAAAAGTGGCCAAAATGAAACTGAAAGAACCGAAAGTTCGAACGTTTGTGTCCACCAGATGAGACAGAAGTTTCTCGTCACGACTGCGCAACTTTTTTTTGTTAATCTTTGAGGTGAAACCTTATGGCTTCAGAAGACTTCAAGCAACTGACCTAGTCAGCCCCAGTCGGGGTACGAGATTTTCACTCGCACCGCGTAATAGTCAAGGTTACCTTGCTTGGCCAGCCTTAAGCCGACATGCTTCAACATCGCAACCCAGATGATGTCTATGGAGAGAAGGTGAATCAATGATCAGACAATAGAGACCGTCAACTTGCATTACGATGGATGCGACAGATGGCATCGCCAGTTATGTTATGACGCAATATCCTGTATAAGTCCATTTTGCATCTGTGTTAACTAAACATCGCTCATCATCACTGGAGCGACTGGACTCGTCACCACTACAATAACCCTCATCTGAGGATAGCAGTGGATCTGGATCGAAGAGCCCAGATATATCCAGAATCGTGTCGAATGAGTCCATAGTAGACGAGCAGGTAGTGAGAGTAAGGAGTAAGGTAGGAGAACTCGAAGGTATATGCAAAGTGGAAGGCAGTGAATGCGAGTTGAAGGGTGCCAAGTGCTAAACGAAGGGTGATGAGTGCGAGTGGGACTGAGTATCGGATTCGCAATGGAGGTGTATAGGCGTAGCAATTGAGTGTCGCAACGCTCCGAGTCAAAGAGCGTACAAAGTTGTTCTTAACGTAATGTATGATGTGGTGGGTGTTGATTGAAGGCACGCGGAAAATAGGACTGGTTTAAATAGAGTTGTGGTTCAGTTGTGGATCACTCCGGTAGCCGGACATTAGGGACAACAGTGGATCACATTGTTGGCTTAAAAGGTCAACCAAAATCATTGTGCTCGATGTATTATGTAAGTAACAATTTGAAACACCGCTCGGATTTGGACACTCAGCTGCATTTGCAGCGTCTCAAATCACAGCAGACGAATAAATATTATCCATCGACAAAAGGAAGATGCAATACAACTAAGCGAAGTATCGCTTCTCCTGCCAACTAACCAGATGATTGACATCATCTGTTCAACAGTCTCTCGAGGAGACGGACTTATCATTTGATCCGATTGTCTGCTGCTCGGGCGGTGGTGCAGCAAGCGCAGGTATTTAGCACAGGATAGCACTCCATCGACATCATTGCATAGCACATTACTCCACCACTCTCCGGACATGAATATATTAAGATTGCTCATCTCACTGAGCGCCTTGAAATCGATTGTATCTCATGGAAGCAGTGCACCCGTCCGCTTTCGTGTGGTCCCATTTATATTGTTATATTGTCGCTCATAGGCAACACCTACCATTCTTTTCAAGGAAAATGTTAATGATGAATACGGAATAGAAATCTAGAAATTTGCAAGAGAACCACAAGGTTGAGGGGTGCCTATGAGGGACGATGTAGCACCAATGTGAACATATAGGACCGTACCGATAGTCCAGAGGATCGCGAAGGGGCGATGGAAAATGTAGCAGGCATAGTGACATTAAGTACGTTTCATAATACTGCTCATACAAAGTCCCATGAAAACCATAGTCCAAGACTCCAAGGTGTATTGATAGTTCGAAGAGCTGGTGGTTGCGTTCAATTGGTCGTGCTGCGTAGTAATCTATCAAATTAGACTGATACACTTGAGTGAGCGCCAATGCAGACCCTGCGATGGCGCTGCTGGTTCGAAGGTCATCAGCTGCAAGGCCACTTCGAGATTGAACTCACTGATATTGCACCACACCAAGATGGCAATGTTCACATTGTTAGCCAAACACAGTAACATCGATATCGTGCACAACATTCAGGACAACTTTAAAAAAGTAAGGCCATGATAAGGAGAGTTGCGATATTTTCAAGTTGGGTTCGTCAATGCCATGGGCCGCAGCTCGAGGGAGCAGCAGCAGCGACATAACTGCGAGGAACGCAACTGGCGAGACTCGTGTGAGTAAAAAGTGGGATGACAATAATATCCCACCAAAAGGGACACTAAGAACGTCTATGAGCTCATCATATTAAAGGCCCGGGGCGAACAAGCAAGAGTTCAATGGTTGCAAATTGATGACCGAATATGGTAATTCTCATACCCAGCCGCTGAGCTGACCACAAGTGACCACTGACCACAGTACGCTCGAGCTCATTGTTTGTTGCTCCGCGACATCTTCTACTCCACAATGGATGCAGAGTAAATATCATTGTTCCACAACATGGTATAAAGGAAGACAAAGCTTGGTCACCATGACTGCCAACTTTCCATCCTTTGTAATAGCCTTGCGCCTAGCACCCAGGCCAGTAACCTCTGTCGCGCTACTCAGCGCCACCTCACTGACATTAATATCGACGTTGGCCTTGCAAGCCTTCTCGCGCCACCCATTTATGCGCTCACAGACAATCCCGCCATCGGGTCTACCGTCAAACCCGGTGACAGACTCATTCGACGTTCTCGAGTCCTTATCCTTTCCTGAATCTCTCACCTCCCATCCCGCTGAATCAGTTCCTTTGGAATTTGAACACACCTACGCAAGCAGCAACTCTAGCTTCTATTGTACCATTGCATGAAGCATGTGTCGCAGGTATCGGCGCCTGTTACTGTTTCGAAAACGATCTGTGATGTACGCTCGCCTTCATTTTCGTTCGTTCGTCAGGCTGATAGACGCGACGTACAGCTTATGACTTTAAGTCATGCTTCGTTCGCAAGAGATGAATGGGATCTATCTATTTACTTTCCGAGGCTTTGCTTTATTTGCTTCGTTTGTCATTCGTTCACAGACACTGCTTCGTGGCCACTATTACCCCAATTTCGATCTTCTCTCGTGGCTTCCTTTTTCTGCACCCAACCTTCCCTCTTATCTTTGTCGACTTTCCACAAGTCCTGGCATCATTTTTTTTTGTCTTGCACGTATGTTGACATACATACAGACGACTCGACTCATTTCGTAGTCATTTACACTCCTTAATCATCACGGTCATTTTACATCTACGTACACGACACTGTTGGACAAATAGCTGTGGGGTGAGATTCCAATTCACCCTCCAAGTTATGTCATGTACTAGACTCGTGACGAGTCCTTGCTACGAGGCAAGCGGGCCGCATAGTGAGAACTAGTCATGAGTCTAGTCAGGTACATTCGCTTCTAGATATACTGGGTTACGCGTATATACATTCAATATGACAATCATATGCTGTCATTAACTGTGTGCACATACATAGCGACTGGCCCTGAACGGTTGTGAGCATCTAATCGTAGCTACCCGAGCTCGACTTTACTAAGAAGTGGAAGAGATACAGTGAACGAGGTTCAGGACGCAACATGAGCCAAATTACAACAATGCAAAAAGGCAGAGGCAGCGTACCAACTAAGGAAGAACCCAGTAACAGTTATAACCACAGCAGAACATGAGTCAAATGACAGAGAGCAGTGGTTACAAGGTAGGTAAGAACAACGGCAGCTTAGTAGAACTACAATCAGCAGGTAGTAAGTAAAGAAAGACGAATGAATAAGTACTACTAGGAAAGTAGTTAGGGTACACGAACGAAAACATGTAATGCTGCACAAGCAGCGGGTCCACCAAGCGGTATAGTCACAGAATTAAGCACTATGCTATAGGTAGAAACACCACAGGTACACGCTTGACGAAGAAACCAGCGAAGGCAACAAGCGTCAAAGAAGGGGTATAGGCACTAAATCAAGTACTGTGCTAATGTCACAGGTAAACACGAAAACGAAGAGAACGAGCTTCGAAGGAGGGGTATAGTCACAGAATTAAGCACTGTGCTATAGATGAGTATATAGCAGTTAAATGTGAGTCGAAGGAGCGTCGAAGGAGGGATACAGCCACATAAGTAAGCACTGTGCTATAAATAACTTGGTATGTCGCAGTTAAACGTCCGACAGCGCGAAGGTCCGAGTCCTGCAAGAGCCAGTAAAATAAATGATGCGAGGGCTAGCATCTAGTCCTAATGACTTAACGCTAAACTAGCGCATACGGTATGTAGTACCTTGTCCATAGAAACTGGTTGAGGAGACGTCCATCGAAAGAGAGATGTTAAACGGACATACCTCACACTGGCCCTCAGAGTGACCGGCGGCAAGCCGCAAACGTTATACAATGACACACAAGTTGGAAAAGTAATTGGTCAGGTTGTCTTGATCAACCGGTAGTGAGTCGGAAGGTTCGATATATTGCATTTCGAGTTGTGACAGTGGGTCACCCAAATTGGGTTTTGGTTCTGTACTATGTGATGACCCAACAAAGGGCGATGGCTCTAGATCGAGCAAAGTGATGAAGTGATCCATATGGAACAGCTTTGGCGTAGTGAGCTTCGAGACTTGTGGACTAAAATATTGGTACAAAGGAATCTACGTCCATATTATATAGAAACTCATAATCACCATTGTTCGATAATCACAGGTGTATTTTGTGGTATTGTTTCCGGTGAATGGTCCAAATTTGGGACTGACCACTGTAACATTTGTCTCCGACACGTAGCCACAAATTGACAATGGACTGTCCACAGCAAGGACACAATGCATTGTGCACCACAAAATGTCTTTTATAAGCCTATCGTTTACGCTCTCCGTCCTTTGACACGATTAATCTCTACTCTTTCTCTACCATCATTATGACTGGGTTGGACTATCCTCTTTACCCCATCTTTGCTTTCCTTGGCTTCGTGGTCACACTTATACCTCTTCCATGGCATCTACAAGCATGGAACTCGGGAACATGCTATTACATGATTTGGGCGGCACTCTCTTGCCTCAACCAGTTCATCAACTCCATCGTTTGGCATAACAATGCCATCAACTGGGCACCCATCTGGTGCGACATTTGTAAGTGATGTTATGTTATGTTTCCGCTACTTGTTTCCTGAAACTCTGTGCAGCCATTCGAATCATGCTCGGTGCTTCAGTGGGCATTCCTGCCGCGTCACTATGCATTAATCGCAGATTATACAACATCGCGAAAACTCATGCGGTCGCACTCACAGATGAAGCGGTATGGGTCAATATCAACGGAGTCTCAGTTCCTTTGTTTATCTTCTTTTAGAAACGACGAGCCATCCTTATTGACACCCTAATTTGCGTGCTCTTTCCTATGATAGTCGTTGCGCTCCGTGAGTGCACTGCTTTCATCCACAACACGCATCCCACTGATCCTTTTACAGAATATGTCGTACAGGGCCATCGCTTTGATATTTACGAAGACATCGGCTGCTACCCTTTCATTTACAATACGCTACCAGCGTTTTTCTTGTCGGATAGCTGGCCTATAATTATTGGCCTTGTATCTTCGGTCTATTGTGGTACGCCTCTTCTTGGTGGTTTGCTGTCCTCGTTCTTACCGCCCGCAGGTCTTTCATTGAAGGCTTTTTACCTCCGCCGTGCACAATTCACCCGTTTTTTGAAATCCAACAAGTCTCTCAGCGCTAGTCGCTACTTCCGTCTCATGGCACTCGCAATGGCGGAAATATTGTGCACCATCCCCCTCGCGTCTTTTATAATATGGCTCAACTCGGCAGCACATCCTGTAGAGCCCTGGATCAGCTGGGAAAATGTTCACTACGACTTTTCGCGTGTCATGCAATACCCGTCTGTTCTGTGGACAACGAACTACCTCCTGGTTGTTGCCATCCAGCTCACGCGGTGGCTTGTAGTCTTCTGTGCGTTCACATTTTTCGCTTTCTTTGGGTTTGCCGCAGAAGCGCGGAAGAACTACGGCATAGCATTTTGGTGGGTAGCAAAGATATTCGGATTCTACCCAGCAAGGCTGCAACAGCGTATGAACTCGAATGAGTACGTGGCTTATTGTGAGCAAAAAACACTTTGCTGATAAATGTGCTACAGATTTAATCGCGCTCCTCGTGTGCCTGCGATACTTCCATCAGCAACCTCATTCCCCCTTTATGTCGTCAAAGAACGCAAACACAACAGTCCGTTGGTATTATCTTGGCAACATTCACTAGATGAACAGAAAACTTCCCCTGTTTGAGAAACGATGCCTTCAGGAGCGTCCTTCATGCCTGCTATGATGACGTTGGTCTCATGGAGTGTCGTGAGGTGGTAGATGGTTCCGATTGAAAACGTTTGTGCTACGAGTAATCCACCCTCATTCGCTGTTGTCATTCATTGTACTTTGAACGGAAGGAGCATTCGATCATTCATTTGTATGAATTATAATAACATCTCACACTCTTTTTGTATTTTTGACTCCTTCGAACGACACATACATTATGTATTTCCTGAATCCTCAAGTGGACCGGGACGCCACGTATTTTGTAGTACATATCTGAATCAAGTACATACGCAAATGATCAAAATATCGTTGTTTCTCGCGTAGAATCTGAAAGGACGGGAATCGATTAACTTAATGGAGCACTGCACAGTGCAGGTCACCTCGAATTGCATGTATATTTTGTTCGTTAGTGCCGCCATCAGATCTGATAGAAATTGAATCAGACTTGAAGGAGCGAAATGCCAGTGAACTAATACTTAGGTCCAAGTCGCAACTCAAAATATAAATAAGGTGACGTAGCACAAGTACATCAGGAAACTAACGGATTCATTTTTATGACTTGATAGTAACTTAAAACACATTTAAGGGACCAAAAATAAAAATTCAGAGCAATGCGAGAAAAGTCACAAAAAGGCCACTCGTCCTCTGATTTCGACTTAAATTTCCTTTATACTTATTTGATGGCCATTTTTCAGACATTATAAATGAGAGAACAGTGTCTTAGAAACCACTGCGCCATCTATTAAAAGTCAAAAAATGTGTAAAAACATGGTATAAATAGTGTGGACAGCTATTGCATGGGATTTCTTAGCTATCATGGCGTCATCCATATTGAGTGAGCGAGCATTTTCGTCCGCAGCATTAACAATCACCAAGCGCTGAAACCGCCTCAAGGAAGATGTTGTCGAGGCATTGCAAGTCATGAAATGTCTTCTCCATCATGACTTGGTGTTTCGTGAGCCAGGACCTTCGTCCTTGACTGAAGAACCTGCTGAGGAGGATGATGAGCTACTCGAGGGGGATGCAGATGAGGTAGTCACAGTAGTATGACTTGGTGAGTAGTAGTATAGCGAAAGGATTTTTTTCACTCAATATCTAACTATTATCATGAACTTCAAGCCCGGGCTTTAGCCCAGCCCAGCCCAGGCCCAGCCCAAGCCCATTGTCAGGGCTGGGCCCAGTATATTGACGAGCCCGAGCCCTCTCAAGCCCTGGACCGGCCCTGGGCTTCAGGCCCAAGCCCAGCCTGCACATCACTAGTTTTGACCATGAGCTTGCATTGCGCCGGGGGAGCTGCAAGTACATCCTTGATATTAATTACATTGTCTTTGATGAGCTTGAGGGCATGTTCCAATTGCACAATAAATTAGCTTCATTTTCGAGCGAAGAAAGAAAAACTTACCACAGCAGCAGCTATCCCAACAACACCACTAATCCTGCTCACAGTGAGAGCCTCAGTGTTAAGCGCCAGAACATTGGCATGGCCAATTGTTGCTTGGAGGTGGCCGGTGGCCACCAGCTGGAGCATAAATGGGGACTGGAAAGTCTTCATCTTGTCAATGACATCTGGGTCTTCATGAAGGAACACGAAATCCGAAAGAAGATACTCAGCAAGGTCACTGGGGTTAGTGTCATCATTCTGAGCCATAAAGTCAATGATGATGGTGATGGTGGTAGAGCCGAAATTGCTGCGCCACTCAGAGAGGCATTGATTGGTCTAATGAATGGTAGACAAGCATACAACACCAAAAACAGAGCCTTGCAAGGAGGGTGCATACTTGACCTCTGGATAGACAACTTGAAAGATATGGTTAATAGCTTCCAGGAGGGCGTCATCACTAATGTTCCAAAGGTTTGGCTGACTTCCTGCCCACAAATAGATGGTCAGAAGAAATACTTTTGGCCAGCGTCCATCCTGACAAGCAGGGGGAAGATCTGTGTTTCGGTAGGCTGATCGAGCCTTGATCATTTCAACCCAAGGGCCATCATCCACCTGTGTGGATGCCAAGGGAGTGTCTGACAGGTCTGTTTGTTCAGTCTTGACCTTTAACATGGTCTTGACCTTCTTTGCAGGTGGTACCTTAGCATCAGTAGTCATAACGGTAGTCTGGAAAATATAAGTTAAGTCTGATCTGTATGTGAAAAAACAACACACTGAGGATGTTGTTCGTGAGGCCTTCTTGATATCGACAACCATGGGTTCCTGCGTTCCCTGCAGATCGTCCGAGTCAATCAACATTCCAGTGCCACCGACAAAGCTAAGGCTAGCTAGTGAAGACTCCTCCAGGTCATCAAAACTCTCCATGGTCTCGAGGCTGGGCCCTAACACTAATTTCCATTTCATACCACTTGTGAATTAGGTAGCATGAGGTTGGCGAGGCTGAGTAGCCAGTGGGGGAATGCCATTTGACTTTTCTGCAGCCAAGTGACGAGCAGCCTGTAACATACAAAGTTGAGATGACGGTGCAGGATGGTCACTGAATTTTGGCTCAGGATGTAACTATGCACCCCCAAACGACAATGAACAGTCAAATATTATTTTAATAACCAAAAAAAATGCATACCTTGCTGCCAGGTTCGATGTCTTCGGACTCCGAGTCAGTAACATTGTCAAACTGGAGGATAGGCTTTGAAAAGCATTAGTTTGATGAATTAGAGTAGAAAATAACATACCTCAACCGGTTGTCTTCCTGTCTTCATCACTTCAGATGCAGCCTGGCGTTCGTATGAGTCATCAATATCTTCATCGCCAAATCCTCCAACCAGATCACTGATAGGAATGGCAGACACATCGGAACCTTTTGCTGGAATGGCTTTGGAGCTTACGCTAGTCACGTTTGAAGTAGCCATTGTCGCAGAGTGGGAGAATATAGTGGATGGAGGGACAGAGGCTTTTGAAACAGAAATCAACCACTGGGAGCTGCCATTTTCGGATGAACAACTTGAAAGACTTGGTACTACATCTAAAGCCCAGGCCTTGATACGGTCAGAATATGAAGATTTGACAGTGAACCTGAATTCCACCGTCAAATTAAGGAAGAAAAGTGTCGACTCAGAGAGTAGTAACATGGGAGTTAAGAAGACAACATACATTGGTAAAGAGTTTTCTTTCCTGTCTGTGAGATCAACATGTGCAAGCTCAGCAGCCTTCAAATTCATTGATTTCAAGTGTGCATTAACCGCATCTCTGAGTGACTTCTTTCCAGGCTTCAGTTTTGAAACACCCTCAAATGCTTCAACATTCATGTCATCCTCCCCAATATCCTCCATCGATTGGCCCTGCTTTTTCTGACCTTCTCTCTGATCCCCATGTCCTCCACCCTGCACAGCGGCTGCCGGCTGAGGCTGTGATGAAGACGTCACCTTCTTGGCTGCAACCAGACGTGGTGTAACTGGCTTTGGCTTTCTGACTGCCTTGGAAGCTTGTGCCTGCTCCATTTCGGCCTGTATATTTGCGAGGCGCTTGATACCTTGCAGGGCAGCTAGTTCCTTTGTTTTGAGGTCTTCTTTGAGACATTTGTTGTTGGCAGCTATTTAAGCTTTGGTACATCATTTCCTAGTTGCGTTGAGCACAACCTGACCAGGATGAGCATCAGCATTTTTTGCGCATGTTCTATGAGCAGTGGTTCCGGCTGCTAAAGACATTTTGCTGGGGTCGGTAGAAGCAAGATACAGATAGCAAGGGATATGGTTGGTGACGGGAGAAGCTCAGGTTAGCAGATTTGACTTTCAATGAAATTTGTATGGTTCATGACCAAATAAACATTGTATTTTCGCAGGCCTTCTCAATCAACTTGAGGACGTGAGGTACCTGCCGCTGCACATACACCATTCCTATGCCCCAAGACACTTATTTCTGTCGTTTTCACTCTGTTATAATGCCTGCCAATGCAACAAACTCCCGTCCTTGTCCAGACCACAGTACCCTCCAGCTTCCTTGCAGCCATCCGAGTTGCCAGCGATATTTCAAGACTGCTGCTGGAAGGATGAAACATAGGCTTTCAGCACATCCAATAATCCCACAACCCATCTCAGCTCCCTGTCCACCTTTTCCCAAACTCTTGGACCCAGGAAATGCCCAGCAGCATGAAGATGATGTTCCTTTCAATGCTGATGAAGTCCCTAGGCTATCGTCTCCACCTGCTGATGTCAATGCAGAATTTTATGGACCGGGAAAGCAGTTTTATCAAAATTATTATAAAGGTCTTGATAGTGAGTGATGTCACACACTTCGTAAAATAAAATTCTAATGTCTGCTTTTGTTTAAAGGTCGACCTTGTGATGAAAATGGCGTGTTTCTTTCTCCAGGCACTCTGCCACCTCCACTTGTTGAGTGTCCTGCTGACAACTGGACACCATTTCATAATCAGATTGAATTTAAAGCTGCTGAATTCTTATTTTGCAAAGATCAAATGTCCGCCTCCCATATTGACACCTTACTTGACCTGTGGGCTGCTACACTTGCAAAACACGACAATCATCCGCCCTTTGCTAATCACCAAGACTTATATCAGACAATTGATAGTATTCCACTTGGAGATGTGCCATGGCAGAATTTCGCAGTCAAATTTTGTGGCAACAAACCGGATGTCGACATTCCACCATGGATGAATGGCTCTTACAATGTATGGTTTCGAGATCCACATGAAGTTGTCTGCAACATGCTCGCAAACCCAATGTACGCAGATGAAATGGATTATCAGCCCTACCATGAGTATGCCTCAGCAACTGATGAACACCAGTGGAAGGACTTCATGTCTGCTGATTGGGCATGAGATCAGGCGGTAAGTTTTTAAATACAGTGCAATATATATACTTATACACTATTGCATACAGGACAAAATTTCCAAAGATCCTGACACAGTTGGGGCAACCTTTGTTCCCATTATTCTCGGCAGTGATAAGACAACCATCTCAGTTGGCACGGGCAACAATAAATATTACCTGCTATATCTTTCTATCGGCAATGTTCGAAATAATGTCCATCGTGCACACCGAGATGCGATTGCTGTCATAAGATTTCTCACCATGCCAAAAAGTAAGGTTCATTCAATTTTCATGCTAATCACAGGTGCTAACAGTAGGTCTTATATAAAGCTGCACAAGTGCACACTGAGGATCCGAAGTTCCAAAAGTGTTGTTGTCAGCTATTTCACTCTTCCCTTTCAAAAATTCTTCAGCCCCTCAAGCCTGGAATGATGAAACACAAAGTGGCTCATTTTGGAGACGGTCACTTCCATTGTGTTGTCTATGGACTCGGACCCTATATCACTGATTATGAAGAACAGGTCCTGTTGGGATGCATCATCAAACACTGGTGTGCAAGGTAAGTATCTCTGAGCCTTACACTACTACTTGTTCCTCATCAACCAGCAACACATTTATAGGTGTCTTGCATCACGTCTTAACCTTGATGATGATACCTTGGACCATTGCCGCGAATATGTGGATGCTCTGGTGGAGGAAGGTACTCTATTGAGGATCTGGGATGATTATGGAATTGTTGGTGACATTGTGGTGAGTACATTTTCTTTTGGATACGGTTATTGAATTGCTGGACACCATCATCCAGCACAAGGATCAGTGTCTCTCGACACTTTTTCATTTATGTTTCATCTGCCAATCTTCTCTTTTCAAGTTGTGCTAACTTTATTTAACTTCCCAGCCATTTACCAACAATTTCCCCCATGCTGATATAAACCAACTCATCGCCCCTGATCTCCTTCACCAGCTAATCAAGGGAGCTTTCAAGGACCACCTTGTAGATTGGGTGGAGAAATATTTGTTACTGACCCATGGAAAATGTGAAGCTCAACAAATCATGGACGACATTGACAGAAGGTATGTTTCATTTTTTGTCGTGAGACTCAATCATTCATCATGATATACAACAGAATTGTGACTGTTGCATCCTTCACAGGTTTACAACGTTTTCCTGAGGGACGAGGGTTCAAACAATGGACCGGAGACGACTCAAAGGCACTTATGAAGGTTCAATTTTCTTAAGTTTCGTTTCTTGCTGCTCATTGTTGGCAGGTGTATTTGCCTGCAATTGAGGGCCACCTTCCACTGGACATTGTATGCGCCTTTTGCGCACTTTTAGAGTTTTGTTACCTTGTCTGCTGCAACATCATCACAGAGAAGACCCTCACCAAAATTCAAGATGCACTCGCACGATTCCACCACTACCGCAAAGCATTTTGAGACACAGGTGTTGTTCCCACATTTTCCTTACCACGTCAGCACTCACTCAAGCATTACATCCAACTTATATGACTTTTTGGTGCCCCGAACAGCTTGTGCTCATTGATTACTGAGAGCAAGCATATCAAGGCTGTAAAGGAGCCTTGGAGACGCTCAAGTCACTTCAATGCACTTGGTCAAATGCTGCGGACCAACCAGCAGCTGGATAAGCTTGCTGCTTTATGTGTCGACTTCACCAGGCACAATATGGTGAGCGGTACATGTTTATCTGCAGTTGTGATGGCTCTTCGTATTTATTAAATTTTATTTGCCAAGTCAATAACACTAATTTTTCCTTTGACAGGACAATTTCAAGACCTTGATGATGCAGGAGGTGGCCATGCTTGTGCCACTGACAGTGCACCTCCAAATGGCTCGAATGCCAATGTTCTGGATGTGGATAAAGGTCACGACAATGGTGAAGTGGATGATGAGTCTACAGTGTTACAAGCAGATGTCCAGCTTGCAAAAACACCCCATGCATTTATCAGATTGATACCTCCCATTCATTGCTAATATTGCTTTAGAACAACAACGTGCCAAAATGATTGCTGTGCTCGCAGTAGAATTAAATATCGCACATTTACCCAACCTCCTCAGACAGTTCCTTTTTGAACAGAAGCATCCGAATGACACTCGAGACGTCTCTGAAGTTTCAGAGTTCCACTTCCCTCATTACGATGGTGGAATCTCTGTCTTCAACTCTGCTTCATCAAGATTTTATTCGCTAGGTGATCTCAGTGGCATTGGGGGCATGCACACGGAATACATTCATGCATGTCGTCAGTGGCGAAACAGACATGCTTGCAATGACTGCATGTTCATTAACATGAAACCAGAGCTCGAGGGCATGCAGGGATTTGACATTGCTCGTGTTCTGTGTTTTTTTTCCTTTACTTTTCAAGGAACGACTTACCCCTGCGCAGTTATTCGGTGGTTTGACACTGTTGGCGACTCTCCTGATGAGGACACTGGGATGTGGATTGTGCAGCCAGCCTATTGTGCTAATCACTCCCCGCATATGTCTATTATTCACATTGATTCGATTTATTGCACAGCACATTTAATTCCAGTCTATGGTGCACAGTTTGTTTCTCATGACCTCAAGTATTACCAGTCTTATGATAGTTTCCGAGCTTACTATGTTAATAAGTATGCAGGTCATCACACCTTTGAGATTGCTTTTTAATCTACTTCACACTTTTTTCCAGCTTTATATTTGTTGGATCTTTGCACACAATGTCATCTCTTTTCGCGTCTTTTTTGTCTTACCCGCCTGAATTACCATTTCGTAAATATATCCAACTTTTCAAAGATCTGCTTCCAGAGGAAAAAGCTGCCAAAAGGTACAATAAGTTACCTAAGTGCAATCAAGAGATCCGTTATTTTCCTGATGTACCTCTGATTAATCTCATCCATTATAATTTGTAATGAATGAATATAATGTTGTTGTCTTGGACTCCTCATGAAACTATCACATCGGAGTTATCAATATTTAGGACAGGTTTATACGTTGTACAAAATCCAGCTTCATCTATCAGATGTTACAGTAACATTTAGGCCCCTATACTTATTTCCCTTTTCACTTCCAAACGGGCCGTCCGTACCACGCTTATCTCTTATCATGTCTATCTCTTATCTCGCCAAGCGGGCTGTCCGCCTCTTCTTGCTTCTATCTTGATAACACATTTACAAGCTCCGCTTGAACACTGGTATATAAACCTACCTACCCACTGTTGTATTCCTTACTTTAATCTACTGGGTTTTACCTGGAACATTGTCCTTCAGTAAGGTCTCCAACCTTACTGTCTAGAACTACTATTCTAAGGGAGTCAGTGACACTCGCCTTAGCCAGAAACCTTGATCTCTCAATCGAGAGCAGACTTACGTCTATCTAGGCATTCTGCCGATTGTCTACTCAGACAGAGATAGCTCGACTCATCCCAGTCGTAACAAAAGATTAAAGTCTTTATCACCTGAACCGTTGCCATCTGCAACGAAACCGACACCACGACTTCGTTAACTCCCTTAATCGGAGCCTTGAACTTAGGAGCGCTACCAACCATTCCTCCTTTGAACACCATGACGACACAGAACAAAGAAATAGAACTAAAGATCGGTTCCCCTCCCGAATTCGATGGAGACAGAGAAGAATCAAAGAGATTTATGATGAAATGTCATGCATATCTCGACATTAACGACAAAGTTTACGTCGATGATAAGAAGAAGATCATTCTTGTGTTATCCTACATGACGAAAGGAAATGCAGCAGCCTGGGCAGAAGACTTCATGGAAGCAGCCCTAGACCCCAAGAGGAAAGATACCTCCGGACAGATGATCGGTTATGGTACCTGGGCCAAATTTAAAAAGGACTTCGATGAAGCCTTTAAACCCATGGACCCCGCCGGAACCGCTATGACGAAGATACGAGGATTAGAGATGAAAGGAGATCTCCACACCTACATCTCCAACTACAAACTCCTCGCACATCGAGCAGGAATGACCGAACAAGCCCCCCTCATCGAATTCTTTCGACAAGGCCTAGACTACGGGCTTCAGGACAACCTGTACAAGACAGGCGAAACTCTCGATGACTTCGACACCGTTGTCAACTCTTGCATTAACCTCGATAACGCCTTCCAAAGATGGAAAGCCATCAAGAAGAAAGAAAGACCCCAGCAACAGAAAAAGAAGAACTTCGGAAATAGACACTATATTCCAAAGAGGAACGATGACATGGAAGTCGACCGCATAAGCCGTCTCTCAGACGCAGAGTTGAAGAAGCACCTCAAAGAAGGACGATGCTTCAAATGTCACCAAGTAGGACACCGTGCCAACGACACCTCCTTCCACCCAAGAGAAAGAGGACAGATCCGAAGAAACAAAGAAGAAACTAGCAGCGACGACGAAGACGAAAGTCGCGCTTCCTCCTCCAGGAACCCTATCAGAAGGAAGAAAGAAAAAGACGAGGAAGAAACTCCGAGAAGGAAAGCACCGGTCCGAAGGAAGACCATGAAAGAAAAAGCCAAAGAAGTTGAAGAAGAAGAAGACAGCGACTTCACTGAAGTGGAACGCCGCTTCGTGGAGATGGATTTTTAGAAAGGGACACTGCCTCGACGTCAGTAACTCCCACTCATGTACGACTAATACGTTCTATCGGAACCAGAAATGAATTAAGAATTCCTGCATCCATTTTTTCCGATAAACGCGTGCAAACCGTCGAAACATCCATGGTCATCGATTCCGGAGCATCCGGCACCTTTATCAGCGATACTTTCTGTAAAAGGCATAGAATAAAAACCCATAAACTCTCGCGACCCTTCCCTGTTATCACCGCCGATGGATCAGACGCCCAAGGAGGACTCATCTCTCGTTACTGCGTACTCACGATCAAAATCGATCAACGAACCATGATCGGGAAGTTCAATGTGGCAAAACTAGCCAAACAAGACAAAATCCTCCTAGGATTCCCCTGGCTTGCTGCACTAAAGCCCCAGATCGATTGGGAAGCCAAAACCGTATCTCTCCCATCAACAAGGAGGTCGCTCACCATAGAAAAAAACATTGACAGAAAAAGACGCAAGAAGTCGCTCCCGCCACTCTTCAGAAAAGAAAAAGAAGTCAGAAAAGAAACAACCCGAACTTGGACAAATTCCAAACTACGGAAACCGATACAGGTGAAGGTGGCAACTAAAGAAACCATCCCCCCCTATACCGCTTCCGTAGAAGAAATAGTTGATGAAGAAATACCCAACTATGACACAAAGGACGACGTCTGGTCAGAAAACTTCAAAACTCCAGTCACAGACCCACTTGCCTATCAATTAGCCAGTGACGAAGTACTCGTCGAGTATGCCACTGATGGATCCACCGTACGCATCATAGAAGATATAACCTTCGATACCCCACTCGTTCGAGACGGAACATCAAAAAGAGAACAAAACTATGGAAAAACAAGTAATAAAGCCCAAGAATTCGCGGTTGCAGGAGAAATAGAAAAACAAAAGAAAACTTTCGAAGAACTCGTCCCTCACTTCCTCCACCAGTATCAAGACGTTTTTGCCAAGGATGGTCTTAACAAACTCCCGCCGGAAAGACCGGGAGTAGATCATCGTATCGACCTCAAACCAGGATTTGTACCCAAGACGTCAAAAGTCTATCCATTATCAGGAAAAGAACGAGAAGCTGTCAAAACATTTATCGAAGAAAACACTAGAAAAGGTTTTATTGTCCCCTCCAAGTCACCTCAAGCCAGCGGATTCTTTTTTGTAGGAAAGAAGAGCGGAGAACTACGTCCCTGTCAGGATTATCGGTATCTCAACGATTGGACCGTACGAAATCAATATCCCCTCCCCTTGCCAAAATCCCTCATTGAACAACTCTATGACGCTAAGTATTTCACGAAGATCGACATTAGATCAGGGTACAATAACGTAAGGATCCACCCAGAAGATCGATGGAAAGCAGCGTTTACCACTCAAGAAGGACTGTTCGAGCCAACAGTCATGTTTTTTGGATTAACGAATTCCCCCGCAACTTTCCAAGCGTTCATGACCAACCTCTGCCAGAAGCAGATAAACCAAGGATGGCTAGTCATATACATGGACGACCTATTGATCTTCTCAAAGGATCTCCAGCAGCACCAAGCACGGACCATCGAAATCCTCGACATCCTTCGAAAAGAGAAACTATTCGTTAAACCGGAAAAATGCACCTTTGATGCGCGAGAGGTAGAATATCTTGGAATGATGATCCGACCAGGGGAAGTAGGGATGGAACCCGCCAAAGTAGACGGAATCAAACACTGGCCAATCCCGGAGAACCTAAAAGACACACGGTCTTTTCTAGGATTCTGCAATTTCTACCGGACGTTCATTGCTCACTACTCGGATATCGCTCGACCCCTTATCGACCTCACAAAGAAAGACCACCCTTTCGTTTGGACTGACAAATGTCAGAACGCCTTTGACCACCTTAAAAACGCCTTTTTATCGCAACCAGTACTAAGAAACCCGGATCCAACTCGCCAATTCGCAATTGCTACCGATGCATCGTTGGCAGCAACCGGAGCAGTGTTGCTGCAGACCGATGAAAATGGAATGTACCATCCATGCGGTTACCTATCCCAATCTCTCAACCCCGCAGAACGGAACTACGAAATCTTTGACAGAGAACTACTGGCAGTCATTAGAGCACTCTCTGAATGGCGCCACTATTTAGAAGGGAGCCCCCACACCGTGATAGTATTCACGGATCATATGAACCTCCTGTACTTCCGCTCCGCCCAAAAGCTGACACGAAGACAGGCACGTTGGCAGCTCGCCCTTTCCAATTATCAGTTAGAGTTGCATCACGTCGCAGGGACCAAATTAGCCGCCCCTGATGCCCTTTCTCGACGCCCCGACCATTCACTCGGAAAAGACGATAACGAAAATCGCATTCTCCTCCCTGATACCATGTTCGTGCGACTAATTGACAATGATTTGTCAGAAAGTATTGCACGCAACTCCGCCAACGATCCCGTCTACCAGAAAGCCCTGGAAGCATTGGACGGAGTATGCCTTCCCCCAATGAAATCCGCCCTCTCAGACTGGAAGTGCACCGATGGCGTCCTCTTTTATAAAAATAGAGCTTACGTCCCAGCAGCCCAACGACATGACGTGTTATTTAAACACCATGATCATCCCACTGCGGGACATCCCGGACGATTCAAGACGGAAGAACTCGTCAAACGAGATTTTTGGTGGCCAGCCATGGGAACTTACATCCGCAAATATGTCGACGGATGTGCCTTATGTCAGCAAATGAAGGCTGACACGCACCCAGTCACTCCGCCGTTGCGACCGATCCCCTCCATCGCCACTCGCCCCTTCTCCCAAGTCTCTGTTGACCTTATCACCGACCTACCTGTATCGGGCGGTTTTGACTCTATCATGATCGTGGTAGACCATGGGCTTACGAAGGGGGTAATTATTTCACCTTGCAATAAAAACATCACCTCCGAAGGAGTAGCCAGACTATTCCTCAAAAACGTGTTCAAAAGATTCGGCCTCCACGAAAAAGTGATCTCAGACAGAGGACCGCAGTTCATTTCGAAATTCTCTCGAGAACTTGCCCGACTACTCGGATATCAGATCGCCGCATCAACCGCCTACCACCCCCAGACAGACGGACAAACAGAACGTCTTAACCAAGAATTGGAAACCTACCTACGGATCTATTGCAGGAATAACCCGTTAGAATGGTCAAATCATCTTCCTATCGCCGAATTCGTCCACAATCATCGGAAACACGATGCCAGGAACACGTCCCCGTTCTTCCTCATGATGGGCTACGAACCACGTGGGATCCCTCACATCTTATCAGTATCAGACACGCCAGCAGCAGAAGAAAGACTCAGAAACCTACAGAAGATACGTGAAGAAGCACTCGCTTGTCATAACATCGCCATGCAACGAATGGCAGAAAGATCTCGCCATGGGAAATACCGACCATGGAAGATAGGAGATAAGGTATGGCTTACGGCCACCAATCTCCTGACATCTTTACCTTCTAGGAAACTTGCGCCCAAACGATACGGCCCATTCGTTATCACCGCAGTCTTATCTCCTATCACATTTACTCTAAAACTCCCAGACCAGTGGAAAGTTCACCCCACGTTCCATGCTTCCGAACTATCGTCCTATCGCGAAACAGAGATACACGGACCGAACTACACCGAACCTCCACCTGACATTATCAATGGCGAAGAAGAATATGAAATAGAAGCTATTCTTAGCCACAAAGGCACGGGTAAACGAAGACGCTATCTCGTATCATGGATAGGCTACTCTTCCGGAAGCAACGAATGGATACCCGAGGAGAACTTGCGGAGTTCGAAAGAGCTTTTAACAACATATAAGAAGAGGCACAAGCTAAACTGAACGAACCATTCCCCTGTAAACGAAACCCAAGTGATCAATATGCCCTTCCCCGCATCCACCTACACTCTGCCATACCACTCCACCTTCGAAACCTCCGCCCTTGACTCCAATGACGAACGATACGAAACTTACATCACCCAAGCTGAAGACCTCACCCTCATTGAGGCAGCACTTCTCTGCCCCCAACATGCCATTGAGCTCACCAGAGTCCTCTTCGGAAGAAACGCCCACTCCATCAACCTCCTCATCAACATCATTAGAGCCACCGAGATCATCGAACGAGTCTGTCGTCTCGTTGAAGACAACACGGTCCGCCACAGTCTCATGCATATGCAGAGGCGCATACGCAACTTTGCTCTGCGCCTTATTCCTGAAGAAGTTAAAGACGATATTAGAACGGTCATCCACATCGTCTCAGAACAAACCGCAGGGGTTGCGCGCCCACCTTCCCCTATGGGCTCCACCAGAGGAGCCCCTCCTCCCTCATACCAAGACGCTGCTCCTACTCTCTCTTCTCACATTCCTAATGAGTTACTGGCTGCGGTCAATAATCTCGCGCAGACAACGGAAGCCATGTTAGCTTCCCTCAGAGAAGAAAACCGCCAAGCGGTCCCCGTACCAGCTCCTACGGTGGAAACTATTGAACACCCTCCCCATCTTTATACTGCGTTCTCTGCTACCCGCGAAGAGATCACTGCCGATCCAAACCAACAACTCTTATCCTATCATGAAGAACAGGACTTGGCCAACGCATTGGCCTCACTCCACATTCATCCCCCGCTTATCATTCCGGACTCGTTATCGACGCATACCTTCACGGATGGAATAGTACCCATGCAAGCGTTGGGAAGAACTCAACCTGCCACTCCTGCTGAGCTAATCGCGGAGGCAGAGCAACGAGGTGTAGCCATTAGGCACCCCATGCAACGAACCGATTTAACCAGGAAAAGAACGCGAGCTCGGCGCTCTGGTAAAGATAAAGGAAAGAGACGCGCCACCAGTGCAGATGAAGCACTTAGTCCTAAGCCAGGCCCATCACCCTTACGAGCGACCTCCTCTAATCCTGATGAAAACCGCGTATGCAGATACTGCAAGACGATCGGGCATAGGCAAATTAATTGCTCCGACTACTACTGTCGCGTCTGTCGAGAATTGTCTCCAGGCCATCTTTCATTTTATTGCCCGCACTATACTGGAGAAACCCCTACTTCTCTGACCTGGAAGGACGAAGGATTTTACCAGGCACTCGCAGCCTGGGAGAACGACGCCGATGACGCATACGCAGCATTATGCAGGGAAGAAGAAATGCTCTATTCGGAGGAACGCATGAAGGCTGGACCAGAAGACGACTTAGAGTATTCTGACGATCCCATCTACTATGCTAACCAGGATGATTGAATCCGGTGGTTTCAACCCTAGTAAGGGGGTAATGTTACAGTAACATTTAGGCCCCTATACTTATTTCCCTTTTCACTTCCAAACGGGCCGTCCGTACCACGCTTATCTCTTATCATGTCTATCTCTTATCTCGCCAAGCGGGCTGTCCGCCTCTTCTTGCTTCTATCTTGATAACACATTTACAAGCTCCGCTTGAACACTGGTATATAAACCTACCTACCCACTGTTGTATTCCTTACTTTAATCTACTGGGTTTTACCTGGAACATTGTCCTTCAGTAAGGTCTCCAACCTTACTGTCTAGAACTACTATTCTAAGGGAGTCAGTGACACTCGCCTTAGCCAGAAACCTTGATCTCTCAATCGAGAGCAGACTTACGTCTATCTAGGCATTCTGCCGATTGTCTACTCAGACAGAGATAGCTCGACTCATCCCAGTCGTAACATCAGATGGTGTAATGGTCATTCCAACAGTGGTTGGGCTGGGGCTGAGCATTAGCTCAGTTTGGATGCTGACAAGATTGCTGCTCAGATGGGTGGGAAACAAGCTTGACAGGCGGACTGTCGGATGACCATTATATGCAATAAGGTATGAAGCTTTGGATACGATGACGGGTATGTATGTACGAGTATTCGAGATATAATCAAATATAACAAGAATATAATTATAGCTGTAATGATACTGGGAGTGGAGGGTGGGCGAAAATACGAGAATGAGCGAGGATATTTGTGTAGGTACGAGCAAGTATGATGTGTGGAATGGAGAAGAGAATGGCGAAGAGAGGAGCCAAGCACTTCACTCAGCTGGACATGTGGTACCAGTTCCTTCTGGGCACTCTGGAACCGGCACCTTTCACATTCCAGCTTCATCTATCAGACGGCGTAATGGTCATTCCAACAGTGGTTGGGCTGGGGCTGAGCATTAGCTCAGTTTGGATGCTGACGAGATTGCTGCTCACCCATGCACTGACGAAACCAACTGTGGCGGATCACGCAGCTAGCCCAATCACTGGTGAGACAGTGCTACAATGAGAGGACACTGAGGTGCTGCGAAGCGATCTGTTCGAAGGCGCATATGTACATTTCATAGGCCAGCAACCGCCAACGCCCGGCTAGGTGCACTATTTCAGGGTCCACTTTCTGTGCAAGGTAGAATGAGGCTCCTCCTATGTGGAAAGAGTGTCTGAATGTGGTTCCCCATCCCCAAGCTGCGATTACACAGTTGATGTGCTTGAGTGCGTGCTGCTTCACCATAGGGCGGATGTTACCCAGTTTGTCTTGCCATGAGAACAAAGTGTCTTCCTGAGGTGTCAAATGAGTCTGATAAGTCCAAGGTTGCCTTGAGCACATGCAACATGTTGATAGTGACTGGAGGACGTAAAGGCGCTAGTGCAACTAGTGGACAAAGACACGCTCAGTATGTTTGAGAACAATACTATATTGAATGTATATACCTAGCGGACGAAGACACGCTATGGTTTACATCAGTAAGAGTAAGACGAGCAAGAGAAGAGAGTCTGCATACCTCAGTACATTCGAGAACAATACTGAGGTGTTGTACGGAGCGATTGGAACTAAATACGCAAGTCCAAGAGATTAGGTAAGGCTACCGGAGAAAGGACGAGCGGAAGGTCCATACGAACGAGAAGCTAAGTGCAGAAGGTCCATGCGGACAAGAAGCCAAGTGCTATGAGGATCTCAAGAAGAGATTGCGATACATGTGGTGTTGAAGATGATAAGATCGAGAAGGTAATGTCAACTCTAAAGGTAAATGAGAGAAGGAAGGACAAACATCAAAAGGACGGAGTGGCTTGCGTCGAGCACCGAGGAGATTGTCTAAACCATGTAGTGACCAATTTATCCGAGCATGGTTGTCTTCGGAAAGAGGAGGGCACCAGCCTTGTGCAATGTGCCATGCACGAACAGCGGCAAGATATTTTCTAGCTACATTTATCAAAATGGGCTCAAAAGGAATTGATGAGCAGGCACTGGAAAATGAATCATCGGGTGAAGGGTCCGAAACTGCCCAAAGTGCGAATGAATGGAGAAGCTCAAAGGATGCTGAAGGGTGGTCAGACTCCGGTATAGAGAAAATGTCGCAAAATAGGTGAAATTTGCAGAGGCCAGAGCCATAGCTCATTGTATCATGCAGGGACACCCTGGATGCTATGCTGGCCAAGTGTTCTATTATGGGGTGTGCAATTGTCAATGGTGGTGGGATGTTGGGCCCTCGCCACAAGAATAATTGTTTGTTTGCCCAACAAGGGGGACAGAAGGGTGATGGGTTAAGGCTGAGCTGATGATGCGGAGCTGATGATGGTGAAGAATGGGTGGCTGGTAGGATCTGAGTGGCTAATGAGATGTGGTAGGCAGAAGCTACAATGATATCAATTTGTCCTTGAGGTGATCTGGTAAACTGAAAGAGACTTGTTGTGCAGCTAAGGGTAAACTGGCTAGGAAAGTTGCTATGTCACCACATGAGAGTGCATTGGAGTGGGGTACCCCTCCAGCGGGGGGTGGCACAGGCGGGTGTTTGCCACCATTTGCATGGCTTAGTCAGTAGGGGTAGATCCTTCGGGCATTGTCGTAGGTAGCACTATCATTAGATTGAGACCACACCAGCTTCCGTCTGCCAGAGGCAGGCACATTGCCAGCCGCGCCAGTCCAGCGTCTGCAATGTTGTCCCAACTTGCAACATATTCTGTCCGCAGGTGTACACCATTCAGTGCCAGCAATGTGTAAATGTGCTTGAGAGTGGTGTTGGTTGTGAAGCTGTGGGAACAACCTTTGTTGGTCACTGTGACTATGCCTGCGTTGTCTGACCGAACTTGGAAAAGGCGGCTGTGTGGGTCCCCGGTGTCCAATAAGTCTGAAAAAAAATTGAACAGAAGGGTAAGGATACGATAGCACAATGCATGATAAAAACTGACTGAGGTGCAGTGTCATGCAAAGCCCAAGCTCCACAGCTACTGCCTCTGCCCAACCTATGTCGAAGGTGTATCCTGGGCCAACTCGAAAACCTGGTGCCCAACACCAGACTGCCCAGAAGTGGCCAATTACGACACCGATGCCAAAGGAGGTGCTGGTGTCGCCCCACCAACCTATATCCTGCGGGTGTGGGGAGCATAGAGGAATTTCATTGGGGAGGATTGGCAGCAAGTCTGCAATCCATTGAAGGTCTTCGATGACGCCTTTCAGTGGGGAGAGCCTTGCACGAGGCGAGCAGAATATTGCTGCAAATGATGAAAGTCCCCTTAGGAAGGGTTGAATGATGGGGAATATGCAGGAAACATGCATGAGTTTTCCATGAAGGCTGTTTGCCTCTTTTTCGGAGAATTTGGCAGTGGTCTCGAGCCATTCCTTTACTAGGGCCTGAACTTTGGCAAGTTTCTCTTCTGGTAGAGCTACAGATTTTCTCTCGAGGTTCCAATCGAAACCAATGTAACATTGCATTGATGCAAAGCAACAGAGCTTCTCGAGGCTCCATGGGACACCACAGTAAGCAGTGAGGGCGATGAAGTCAGCTTCTGACCAGGATTGATGTGGTAAATGGATAACAAGGAAGTTGTCCACCCATTTTTGAATGAGGTCGAAGCCTGCTTTTCCATAGATAGTGACAAGCATGTCGGCAATAGATCCAAATACTCCTGCACTGGACGTTAAGCCAAACATGAGGGCTCTGTCTACATATACAATCCCGTGCCAGAATACACACAGGGTGTTTTGTTGGAGAGGATGCACAGGGGTGATGCGGTATGCAGCTGAGATGTCGAATGTTGCTGCAACACAGCCTGGCAGCAAAGTGAGAATTAGTTCTGCTGTGCTGTCGAATGATCCCCATATGGTGGGGAAATCGTTGGAATTGATACCCGCATTCACTGAAGCAAAGGAAGGGTTGTTTGGGGGATATGAGAGGTCTTGTACTAAGCAAAACTTGTTGGAATGCAGCTTTGGGACTAGTCCCAAGGGGGACGATTGAAAAGGTCCAATTAGGAGCTTGAGCTCATTGGGGGAGTAACCTCAGGAATAACGACCAGCAGCTTGTTTGCTGGCAATATATGAGTCGATAAAGGAAGGATTTAGCTGCAAAGATGTGTGGTTTTCGAAATAAACAAGTGACCGGTGGGGTGCCTTGCACCACAACATTAAAACCATTGCAAAGTCCTGTGGGTATGTGTAACCAATCATCTAAGATATTATATTTACGTAGAAGTTCCTCAACACAATCTAAAATGAGTGGAGATACCACTATGCGAGGATCAGGCTCGCTGGGTGCAGCTATTGGCTCCATGACTAGATTCTCCACAGATGCTGCATCCATGAAAGTTGGAGCAGTTGGCTCCAAATGCACATGCAGATGAGTGGGCCCAGTTGAAGCAATAGTGCTTTCCATTGGTTGCCATGAGAGCATGTCTGCTTTTGGCTGTGGTTGTAATGGTAGCAACAGTTTTGCCCACAGAGGTGGTTTCGGCACTGCAGTCACCAGGCAAATGTCCAGAGTGCCCATATCGAAAGCAATGCACTCGCGGTTTCTTGCATGGAGATTGTGCAGCTCCATAGGACTGCTCCCCAGGCACCGAACATTTCAGTGGTGATGACGATGTATGATAAGGTGCCTGCTGAGTGGCCAGGGATATACGTGCTGTGGCTTGAGTCGCTACGAGTGTGAGGGCACTGATGTCCAAGCCTATTAGATCATGCACTGGGTTCTGGGCAGCCAGCTCTCGCTGCACAATATCATATTCCTGAGCAATTTCCCACCCATGAGAGGATGTGAGCTCAGAAACAATCTTATGGTGGGACACGAAGGCCACTCCGCGGATGACGCCATGGTAAAAGGTGATACGCTCCTCAACAGCTCTGGATGTGGTCAACCAATCATGAAATTTAATTGTTCATTCTTTGCTACGATCTAAACCCTTGGCAATTATGTTGCCTTAGGTGTTAAAGGAAAATGCCTCATTGCCGTTGCGTGCAGCCTGAAGATGTGCTGCAGGGGTAATTGCCATGTACAGTACATATTTGTACTGCTTCAAGGCATCCTCTACTTTCAGCAGGATGACTGTAATGAAAGTATGTATGTGAGCAACAGAGCTCTCAATGAAGCGGAGGGGAAAAACAAAGCAGAAAACAGAACTAAGGCCCAATCCTGAAGAGGATGCAGGGCCACAATGTATATTTAGCACCAATAGGTGCACAACAATGTATTGACAACGATGATATATTGCAGGGAAGACACTTACTGGCATCAAGCAGGTTGGCTTTGAAGCCAGGGACTAATTCTGGTAATATGATTTTCTTCGGTTCATTGTGCATAGCAGCGGCAGTTGCCCGAGCTCTGTCAACCACAGCTGGGTCTGCAAATAAGGCAGGAATGGGAACGAGAGGGGCATTGGCCAGTTGGTGGGTGCCATTGGCCTCATCTGCTTCCAGTTCCATAAGCCTAGCTCGTATAGCTGCGTGCTTGGTTGCACATCTCTGTGCTGCTGGGTCTGGTTGGTTCACAGCTGGACCCACTAGTGGGGGCGGACCTGCTTATGGTGCTGGGTGGGTGGATGAACCACTAGGCGCTAGGTTATTGGTGGGTGGTACATTCGAGCAGGCAGATGCAGGTCCCAGCCTCTGAGTTGAAGGAGGCAATGGTAGATGAGGCGATTGCATAGGCCTACTAGCGGCAGTTCCTTGGCTGCTCTGAGAAGTAGTGCTGGAGGGGGTTTCTTGAGAACTGCTGCTCCCTGGGAGACTAAGGCCTAAATGCTGGTGTGTCATCAGATAAGAAAATTTGATTGAAATTGTTCAAAATTGAAAATACGAGAATGAGTGAGGATATTTGTGTAGGTACGAGCGAGTATGATGTGTGGAATGGAGAAGAGAACAACGAAGAGAGGAGCCAAGCACTTTGCTCAGCTGGACGTGTGGTGCCGGTTCCCTCCAGGCACTCTGGAACCGGCACCTTTCACATTGTGAAGAAAATATTTGAAGTTATAATCCCCATTCCATTTCTACAGAATTGAGTCAGTAATTGTATAGCAAAATATATATGCTGACCTGCAACATGTGCAGCGGATGTCATTGATGAGCGGCCATGATGCAAGACAAACAGTGGAGATCAACTCCAAAGCAGTCTTGGCATCAATACAGAGGGCAAGAATTGCCACAACTGGAACAAGGCACTTCATGGAACTCCCCTCTGCCCTCAAGCCATAAAATTTCCTCCAGGAACAAAGCATAATGCTCTAACCACATGAGTAGTGGATGATCCTGAATTGCGTGAGTAATTGAGGGAGTGATCTGACCATGACACTGACCCCAGCAGTGTGTCGTCTTTGTTGAGGTTGGACCTCATCCAACAAAGGTGCAACATTGACGTCTGAGGGACCATAATCATCGAAAGGATCTGGCATGGTATTTGTTGAAGGCTCCTGCACATGGGATTGCTGTGCATTCTTGGGAGGTTTGATATAAGTGTGTGTATAGCTGATTGAGCCATCCTTGTAAACATGATAATTGGTGTGCTACACACTCATTTTCGAAGTCGGAGTTGGAACTAAGAGAAACATGCTGTAAGAGAACACAGCATGAGATAGAGACAGCGGGATAAGATAACAGTTGACATACCTCAGTGTTATAAGACAACTGAGGTATGAGTGAACGAGCAATGCGAGATTATAAACTAAAATGAATCACGTGTATGATAGGAATTGAGATTAGGTAAGAACAAAAAGACAAAAGAAGGAAATGGTGAAAGGAAATGACAAGTGGAAATGACAAGTCAATAATCCAACACACCCCCTTGACGAGACATTTCAATGTGACATGAGGGACAGACCGTTCTGATGATGAAGAAATAGAGGGCACAGAAGGCATTTCGTGAATATATCAGCTGTGTTGTGATGCGTCGACAGCCATTCAGGTAGGAATGAGCCCCTTCAGTGAATTCACCCATATTAGATGGACAGCTGAGGGTGACAATGTACCAATACAGACAGGCCAGCCCATGTTGGCCCATGGTAGTAATTGTACCATATCAGACGGGTGGGCTGATGGGTGGTGTGTACCTGTTACAAACAGATGGGCCAGTAGTCTATAATGTATAGGGTAGTATAGGAATGTGCTATATAGGCTATCTATGTGAATAGCAGTTAATGTAGTGCGCAATGGAGACGAGTGGGCCGGTACATACTATGTGCAATGGATGACGAATGGGCCAGGGGGATGGGTCTGATTGGGCCGAGTGGGCCAATATGCCAAGTACAATGGACGACGGGTGGGCTAAGGGTACTGGGTGCCATGGAAGACGGGTGGGCTGATGGTACCGGGTGCCATGGAAGACGGGTGGGCTAAGGGTACCGGGTGCTATGAAAGACGGGTGGGCTGATGGTACCGGGTGCAATGGACGACAGGTGGGCCTCATGATATCCCATCCGGTAGGCAATGGAAATATTTACCGGTGGTATGGATGATACATATGAGCCGGAAGTGCGCTGTGATTGAGAGAGGTGAAGGTGAAATGGATGATACAGATGAGTCGGCCGGACGAGCATTGTGTATGTAATAGAGGTGAAGGTGAAATGGATGATACAGATGAGCCGGAAGTGCGCTATGCTATCCAGTACAGCAACATTCTTACTAGCGCAGTGCAGGTTATTCAAATGAAGCATTATCTTCAACATTCAAAGCACAAAGTTGACAACACAATGTAAACGACTAGTACATACATAAATGTCAATGATATAGGCTAGTACTATGTCGGCCCGTCACCGGAAGGCTTGCGTGGATGCCTACTGCTCACTGATTGACCTTGGTGTGATAGAGGTCCAAATCACGGGCGTGACAAGGGAGCTGAGATGGACTGCATGCCAGCCTCCACATTTGATGGCCCAGCAACCGGGAGAACAGGAGATTGCACAGGAGGTGCAACAACCGGAGGAACAGACGGGCCGGATTCCCTCATGATCATTGAAGGGATGATGGTGGAAGTTGATGGCACCTGGTTGTGCCTTGCAACCGGCAAGCCATCTGTAGCATCATCCAATGTATCACCACCAGTCTGGGTACCAATCCAAGATACACCTGGGGTGAACACGTTGTTAGTCATGGTACGGGCAAACACACTGATAGATGGGTCTAGGGCTGTGATAGGGTGTGGATTGAAGGACGGTGGAGGTGATGCTGTCGCTTGACCGGATCTCTGCTCCCTCAGATACCTGACAATACCTCTTACTTCAGCACTGTACTCAGTGAGGAGTTCCTGCTGCACATGCATATCCCGCTCTAAGTTATCCATCTTCATAGACATGGCACCATTACATGCCTCTGCGATGTCCATGCGATGCTCCAGGCCATCATGCCAGACGTCAATGTCCATCCGATCGCGTGTTCGCAGCTCCTCCATCTCAGTGCGAATTTGGGCCAACATGGCCTCCATCTGGTCATGAGAGAGGGGGTGCTGTGTGAATTGACCCGGTCTGGAAGGCGTAACAGGGGAGGGCAGGTTGTAAACAGGAGGTAATGGCGAGAACCAGATATCGTCCTCTGGGGCCATGACTGGTGATGGAGGTGGAATCACGTCCTCGCTGGGTTCCTTCCAGTGATTAGGAGAGAAGTCGTTTGCACACGCCAAGGGGACCGGTGCTGTTGAAGCACCACCGGCACTGGTCATCTGTGGGGCGTCCAGCATCTGGACATCAGTATCAATGCCCTCTTCCTCTTGGATTGGACTAGGATGCCGGATATCCTTGTCTACAGGAATGAATTAGAATAGAAAGCAATAGGAAACGGAAGACTCACCTTTCCCCTTAGATTTCCTGATGATCTTCTGTCCGGTGGCTTTGGACCGGATCATCTTGGAGTGAGTGGCGACTGCAGCGGCAGGTGGTGCAGTGGGGGTGATGGTGGTGGCAGAGGTACTGTGTGTGCTTGCTGGGTCGCCCCAGATGCATGCCATCTTCCATTGATTGCACAACGAGCAAGTTGGGGTGATATCACCTCTCTTCATCAACCGGGGGCAACAATCCACAGCCTTTGCCCGGCATCTGTCACAAGGCGGAAAGGGTCCATCAATGCGGGGCTATGAGCAATGAGTTTAGTAGAACATGGGATTGACAGGAAGACTCACCGGTTCTTGGACCTTGCCCTTCTTGCCGGTGGGCTTGCCCTTGGGCTTCATGGACTATCAAATAATGTTAGCATTAAATATAACCAGTGCGACAACAAGCAAATCTTACCAGTTTTTGTCGCTTCCCTGGTCTGACAATGGCCTGCATCCGGATAAGTGATGGACCGGTAACCATGAAGAAAGTAATGAACTTGCCTTTGCCCTGCCTTGTGTATCGTCATCGTCATCCTCCAATTCGTCCTCTTCATCATCCTCCATGACAACTGGCTCAGTTGCCTTCAGCGCAACAGCCTTCTTTTTCGTCGGTTTTCGCATTGATTTCCGGGGCTGTTTGCTGCGTCAGTAATGTTGAATAACGCGACAAAAGACTTACCTCAACATCCAGAAGATCATCGACATCGACAACCTCGCTATACTCATCTTCCAGTGCCTTCCCCTTCCCCTTCCCCATCGCCTTTGCCTTCCCCTTCACCTTGTCATCGTCAGTAGTGTCAGTATCTGACAACATTTCCTTCGACTTCGGGACAATCTTCCGGGACCGGTTGACCCGAGGCAAAGGTGGGCTAGTACTTGGTCGACGTTTCCGGCGATTTGACGGCCCTGCCGTTGCCATATCACCGGATGCTGCATGTCTGGGAATGCAAATGCTGAGAGATGGCACAGCTGCCGGTGCAGGTGCAGGTGCCGGTGCCGGTGTGGGAGCTGGTGCTGGTGCAGGTTGAGAAGGAGGGGCAGGAGCAGGAACAGGAGTAGGAGTAGGCGCAGGCACTGTGCAGTCACAGGTGTGAGTACAGGTGGGATGAGGAGGAATACACTTACCAGCAGGTGCATGACCCAATGTCTTACTGTACAATGAATGCTTCATGCACATATCCTGATTATTACCAAGACGGTTCCAATCCGGTACTTCCACCAATTGTGTGGTGCGCCTCTGAGCACGAAAGATTTCAGCTGCGAGTGACAGCAGCCCAGGGGGAACATATGAAGTGTCCCTCCCATACACACGAATGGCGTCATTCTGGGGCCCTACTATCAATACAGGCAACCGACAGGACATCAAAACATACCACTTAATGAGCAATTCCACGGCTTAAGTCCATTTTCTCCTCCTCAGACTGCAACCGGAGAACCTGTTGAACCACCTCATTGAGCCGGGCAACAAGAGCGATGAGAGCCTGGTTGGCAGCAGCAGCAGCAGAAGGAGAAGTAGAGTGAGAAGACATGGTAGTGAGATAATTGCAGTAGAGAGTTAGTGGACAAGTCACCCGGAAGAGACGTACAATTACCACACTTGTAAAAATTTCAACAACCGGCTATCCAGTCCGACTCAGACATATCCGAGTCCATTGTTCACCTCATCATTGTCATCGTCTATTTTTAGCTTTCAATTTCTTATCGTGTGGTTGACACATCATCCGGACACGTCATCCGTAATTAATTGTTGCCAGCTGACCTGTGAACAGATCATCCGGTCACAGGCTCCAGTAGAACATTGGTTCTTCCAGTGATCTCATGAAGACCGTGGATTTATACAACCCGTTCAAGAAACACAGAAGGATGCGATCATTGGCAATTCCTCAGCACAATCAACAAGTATCTAGTGAGGAAGAAGGTAAGCAACTATTGCCGCCCACAATGTACCGGTTGACATTATCCGGCATGTCAGTATTTGACATCTTGGAGGAAGGGCACGAGGAGCGCTCTTACAAAAACCCTTTGATGGATTGCACAAGCATGGGCGAATGTAAGCTCATCTCATCTTGAGCAATGGCAAGGACAATTGATGTTAGTTTTGAAGATCTAGATGTCCTGTCAGCTCATGACATATGGAAGGATGGTAAAAGCTTGAAGACACAAGTTGACTCACGGTCATTGGACTTGGGATTTCTTTTGTCTGATGATGACCAGATGACCGGTAATCACCACCAACCATGGTCAGACATATTGGATATGCAATTCCACATCTCATTGGATGACAACCGGTCACATGATGAGATATTGGACTTGGGATTTCCTCCACAGCCAGATGATGGAGATGAGCTAGATTTGGGGTTTGATATTGACGTCGATGATCCAGCTGGTAACATGGGCATGTCGTGAATATTCATCCTATAAATTGACTTACTCATTTGAAACTATATTTGACTAGAAGATGGGGCTCTGGATATGGGCTTCAACACATATCCGGCAGATGATTTTCTGAATATAGGGAACAATATTCCACCAGAAGAAAACCCTTTAGAGATGGGTTTCGAGATGGATCCGGTACACATTGATCTGGATCAGTCTTGTAAGTTGATCATTCTTTCAAAGATGTTGTACTGTTGATTGTTGACATTCAGTCACTGTCAGTCGACCGGATTCCATTGGATTTGTGATTCAGAGGGCTGTAGGTGATTTGCATGTAGCAATGCACCGGTTGGATATGGACCGGGCTGGTGATACCATGACACCGGATGAAGCCTTTGCAATACAGCAAGTTCTTGACTGTGCACAAGAGTTATCAGTGCTGGCATGTCAACTGATCTCAATATCTCAACTTTCAACCTGAAGTGTTTATATATATATATCCGGTCAAATGCTATCTACAACCTGTCTGCTGCAAACTTGTGTCCATATATCCCACTGACTACTTGGACATAAAGTTAGCTTTATAAGACACCTTTGTAGTTCTAAGAGAGCACTTTGGCTCTGGATTGGTAATCTGGGGGTCAGATCCTTTGGTTTTCCTTCTGGTAGACTTTCTTGGGGAAGGAGGTGTTGGTTTGGGCGCCGGTGATTTGTTCTTGTTCTTCCTCATCTGGACACCTGATGTAGGACCAAATTCACGACTTTTAGACACAGGCAGAGGTTCATGAACATGATTACCGGTTGATTGCACAGAACCGGTACCAGTGTTGTCTTCTGACTGTCCCTTTCCGCTTGCAGCGAGCTTGGATTTCTTAACCGGTGGCCAACAATCTGACTCTGAATGAGGTTGAATGGAATCAACCCTACCCTGCTTTTTTGTGGGTTTTGGGACCGGCACGGGTTTCTTCACCAGTAGGGGAGGATTTTCGTGCTCTGAATCAGATGGAGCTGGATTGGCTCAGTGGTACTTGTTGGTGCGTTTTGACTTTGAAGGTTGTGAATCCTCCTCTCCCTCCTCCTGCTTGTCATCGTCTTTGTCCTTGTTGTCGTCATCCTCATGATCGTCATCGTCATCGTCATCCTCACTACTCGACTCCTGTCCCACCCTCCTCCTGGGCTTTCCTGGGCTTTCCAGTTGACTTTTTCACCGGAACCCTGGGTAGTGAGTCGGAACTGTTGCCGGAGATTATCTCTGCTGGTTCTCTCATCCTCTTATCATTGCCTTCCCAGCTTTTGAATTCAAAGGTTGGGCAAACCTGGTTCTTCTGTCTTTGGAGCCACAACTCCAATAGCCGGTCAGCGTCAACAAGCCGAATCTTTGACGGATCGTCCAGCTTGCAGCCAGTAGGTACGAACTTGGCCACAATAAAGTCACCCTGAGCCTTCCTCACCGAGGCCCAAGGCACAGATGCCTTTGGTTGTTGGCTGCACAACCCTGCCACATAGCTGGTCAGTCGATCAAATCATCAGATGCATCATTTGTGAAACTGACTGTAGTGTTTTGTGAGGAAAGTCCAGATAAGATGCTTTTTACTCTCTAGGTTAAGCTCTTTAACGTCCGGTATGACCGGAAGCCCGTAGCTATCCACCTCCAAAGGATAATTGTCCTTCTTCCTACCTTTCTTCCGGCTCTTCTTCACCTCCCCCTCATTATCATCGTCGTCGTTATTCAAGTCAACTTCTGGTAACACTGCAAGTCATATAAGTACTCGACCAAATGACGGCAAGATATTCAAACAGAAGCTTACCGAACTCTTCTCCAGCATAGGCATTCCACTCTGATAACATGGGCTTCCAGTCCTTGGTATCTGTAGAACTATTGCCCTCCAACTTTTCATTGAAGTCGATTCTTTCAGCTGGATCAGTATATCTTTACCTGTTGAATGTGAAGTCGAACTCACCCATTGATCCGCACTTCGTCTTCCTCTGTTTTCCATGCTGATAATATAAAAATTCTCATACCGGCCTGCTTCCACAACTTTGTTGCCAGATCCTTCATCATGCTGGGTGCTTTCTTCTTTGCAAAGTCCGCCTGGACGGCTGCAGGAGGAGCCTTGGCAGATCACTCGATCGCAGTCTTCTGGGCTTCCTCTAGCTCCTCTTTAGAAAGACTGGCCATGACTGCAGTTAGTGTTGGCTGATATCTTTCAATGAACTTCTTGGATCCCGGCATTGCTCTGCTCTTTTCAATGATATCATCCTTGCACTGTTGTTCTATCACCAACCGGGAAGTCCATTTCTGACCAAACTTGCTGGCCTTCTTCTTTCGAGTCTTTTCAGGTCTCTGGTTATATAACCAGTCCCGGTACATCTCAATACATCATGATAAAATCGGTCACATGCATAAAAATTGGAGTTCAACTGCTCACATATTTCCTGTTCTTCAAGGACCGGTCATCCATAGTAGGGGCATGTACCTTGGCCTCTTTTACGATGGCCTTCAGAATCTTTTTTCTATCATTGGCAGTGGCTTCCTTCCATTCTTCTAGGTGGGATTTTAAGACCAGCACCTCTTCCTCGGTCAATTTCTTCTGCTTGGTCTTTTTGGTGCTGTCGACTGAAGAGTTGGATCGGGGCATGGCAAAGTAGTTGAGGAGCAGTTGATGTCCTGGTTGAAGCAAGGATCCTTGTGTATCCCACAGTATTAGGCTACATAACCGGTGTACGTGACTGCAAACCGAACAAGAGACAGTCTGTCCAATACTCGTTTATTGGCATGATGCCCTCCAACATCCCATGTGTTTCTGATGCATAGAACTTAGAACTGTAAAAGCATACAGACTTAGACATGTATTATATACTATATGGACAACATACAGCCCTCAAATACTGCATACAGATATAACCGAAGTACGTGACAGAAAACCGAACAAGAGATTGTCCAACACTTGTTCATTGGCGTGATTCCCTCAATATCACATGTGTTTCTGATGTATAGAATGTAGAACTGTAAAAGCATAAAGACTTAGACCTTTATTATATAGTATATGAGCAGCATACAGCCCTCAAATACTGCATACAGGCCCTGTGCAATCATATTCCACCACTTGCTTGAGTAAGTATCATCATCACAGATGACTTTGGAGGCCAGCATGAATGTGGATACAAACAGCTGGTGTCCTGAAGATCAAACAAGAAGCCTGTTTATCTCTAGAGTGGGTTTTGGTTGGAACTGTTCTCTCAGAGCATGTTTTGCCATGCCAGTGCCCTCGACTGAAGTTTAATCAATGTATTCACTTGGCCAGACTCGTCAACCATCCAATCAAAAAGATGTATATATTTCTGCCGAATCCTCTTAATTGACAGAATCACTTTCTAAGACCAACACTCCAGAAAACTGGCTAGAAAGAAGTATTTAAACCTTGAAATGTACCCTCCAGTCGACGTACTTTATACAGTCAATTGTCATCTAACTTGCACATGAAATCTCTGGTTAATGGCAGGATTACAATGTTTGTTAGATGATGCAACTATGGCAACCTCAGTGACTCCAACTTTAATATATCCCAAACAGAGATAATATTGCAAGATCTCCAGTGACATCACAGGAACAATGTGGTAATCCCGACCGATCAAACCATTCAGAGTCTGGAAAACACCGGATCAATTGGTCCCTTGATGACTGGGTCGTTCAATGACTAAGAAGGGAACATTTGGTAATCTTGACCGTTCAAATCACCTGGAGTCCGGAATTGATGGAAGACACTGCAGCGAAGTCATGTGCCTACAAGTCATCAAGTTTACAGCACACTTAGCCTTTCCAGTCAATATGGCAAAGACGAAACAAAAGGGAATCACATACACCCCTCCTATGAAACGATTGCCTCAGCTGTATAAGCTCAAGGAAAAAAATACAACCAGAGGATCCAGGTCATCTTGGGTGAAAGATTCATGGGCTCGAAAAACACATTCAGTAACATCATCACCGACAAAATCTCCCTCAAAGCATAAATCCGGGTCCCCTCACTTGCTCTATGAAGGTGCTGACTTTGACTTTGACCAAGGTCACATCCCCCAGCCTAAATTTCCGAAATCTCAGGCAAGCAACAGTTATGTCAGTTATCTTCATTTCCCAAGTCTGACTGGATCATACAGAGTCAGAATTCATATCTTTGGCAATGGAAATGCAAGTTCAAGGACTACATAAATTCACTCATGGTCAGAGAAGCCCCTCCAGCCGACCAACTTTGCTCAGTTTGCAAGAAGGATGGGGTGTATAGATGTCATGGCTGTTTCAATGAGCCACTTTTTTGCACAGACTGTTGCAGAATCCAGCATCAAAGACATCTATTCCATTGCATCAGTCAATGGACTGGATCATTTTTTCAAGAAACTTCACTCATTAAAGTTGGCCTGCACATTCACCTTGCTCATGACTGCACTCCATGTCCCAGCAGCACCGATTACTCATCAGACTTCTTTCAATGGTCAGATACCGACACCAACAACAATATAGATGATGATTATCCAGAGAGATCTTTCATTCCACCGGTCAGAGACCCAGATCATCCGGCAATAACTGTGGTAGACAAGTCCAGTGTTCACTCCCTTTCCATATGGTATTGCCACTGCCCCGGTGCTCTCAGCCGAGACATGCAGCTCTTTCAAGCAGGCTTGTTCCCAGCGTCTTTCACCAGACCAAAAACTGCATTCACATTTGCTGTCTTGGACGACTTTCTGTTAGACAATCTTGAGTGCGGTACATCGGCCATGAATTACTACAGCAAAATTCGCAGACTCACCTCAAGCATATTTCCGATGGTGGTTCTGGTGAGCTGGGTTTCAGTCTGTACTTCATATTCCGATTATTAAAGAATGATATCTGTAGGATCGCTACAGAGAGCTCATGAGAGCTGCCAGGCAGTGGCGACAATGCAAGCTCTACAAGTGGCATGGATTTGCCCACAAAGATGACCAGCCAAAGGACGGTGATCTCGCTCTATTTTGTCTGGCATGTCCGCAACCGGGTATAAACTTGGACCTGTCTGCTGGTACAGTCGCCCAGCCGGACGATACACCTTCCTGGCTCATGACTAGATATTTGGTCATGGATGGAGACTTTAAAGCTGAGCACATGCATCCTGTGAATCCATCCGATGAAGTTTCATTGATGGATGGTCTGGGGTTCATGGTCTCCAATGAAAGATACAAGAAACATTTGTCCATTGCGCAAGACCATGTCCAAAGGTTGGATTGCAATAATCACCGGGCAGTAAATCAAGCAAACGCCTCGCAGCAAAGGGCCATCAGGAAAATCATAAAATTACTTACCACAACTTAAAGGAACTTTGTATGACTTGACAAAATTTTTAAGTACAGTTAAGCAAAATTTGTCTAAGTAGGCCCTGACTTAAAACAAGTAGGGTCTTCTGATGAATTAGACTTTGCAGCTCTTATTTCCAGTCTTATTAGTAACTAAAGTACACACTCCGGGCAGTGAGTGCTAGACTGTGACAGTGCTTGGTATAAAGCCAAGTCGAGTCAAGTAGATCAGTAGCGCTAAGGACAATTTTGTTTAAAAATTTGGCTCTAAATTTAAATAAGTCTGCGCTTTAAGGCTGTCAAGAGATATAAAGTCAAAAGTAAGTCAAAGACCAAGACACCTAGTAGTAAGGATAATGACTTAAAACTGTTTATTTCATGTACTTAATTCTTAAGTTTTACAGCCTGAACACTAAGGAGCTTAAAGTGTGCTAAGCAGTCACTCAAGCAGCAAGAAAGCGCCCATAGTAGCAGTACCAAAGACATTCATCATGATTCAAGTGCGAGTAAGAACAAAAGGGTGGCAGACAAGAGAAAACAAACATAATAAGGACTGTCAAGACATGCCTACTCACAAGAGGCTTTAATGGATAGTAGTACTACTAATAGTAGCTAGTACAGCAGTGCTGCCAATGGTGACTCGATGGGCGCGGCATTGTACCAGCTCCAAGTCCACTGGCAAGAGTAGTAGTAGCAATGGTAGCCTACTACTAGCAAGTTAGAAGCTTAAATGAATTGAATATTAGTGTCAGGTAAAAATAATGAAAAAAACACTCACCATCAACTTGTCGGAGGTACAGGTCAGTATAAGACTCCTATTACTCTGCGCCAGAGTCACCATCTCCCTTAGACTCAGATTCGGTGTCTGATATATCAACTAGTTGAGCACGCTCATCCAGATCAAGGAGTTCATCTTCAGCGACATCATCAGCAATATCATCACAAGGCCAACGACTCTTCTTTGAAAATTCCATTGCAGATGCGATGATAGTGTTGAATTTGTCATCGTGCAGGTTCTTCACGATTTCCTTTGCATAGGCTCGCGTAGATGTACCCCAAGAGATGCCGTTGAATCCCGTTTGTCGACTAGATACCTTACCGGTCGATTGATTCAGCGTCTTCGGCAAAGTGATATTTTTACCCTTAGCAGCCCGAACCATTTTGATAGTCAGCGTATGGGTGGACCAGAGTGTCAAAGCTCGTTCAACCTAATTAGAAGCAGTGCCGGTGGAGGTAGTACCATGAAAAAATTATATCAATATAAATAAAATGATCACGCACCGCAGCACATGACAGTGCAAGACCCCCAGCATCCATCATCTGCAGGAGGGAGTTCCGGTTTGGCCTTTCGAGGGATCGGCCTTGGCCTTGGTTTGACTACAACCCATGGGGTGGCATCAGCAAGTGCGTTGTTGTCTGCTTGATTCTTCTCATAGTCAGCGACACGTTTGATTCCAGCATCATTGGCACGTTCTTTCTCTTTCTTCACCTCCAACTTAGCCTGACGATCTGCAGCTACTTCTGCCTTCATGCGACATTTCCTCTTCGGTGTCAAGTCTAGAAGACCAGGGTGCTGAGCCGCATTCTTGGCTCGTGTAGCACGACGAGTAGACATAGTCGTGATTAGAGGTGCAAAACTTGAAAGGTGAGCGATTTCCATCAAGTGCAGACGTGGTAATTAACGTGGTTCAAATTTAGACTTGGACAATTTCAGGATTTTGCCATGCGCCCACGCCTCACCATAGTACATTGCCATACTTCCAAGTCATCCATGGTGAGTATGGTTATGATCTCTACTATCTGGTCACTAATCATTTTTTATGAAGCTATAGGACTAGTAAGGCAAGCATGGAAGAATGATTATGCACCAGAAAGATGCCGCGCTTCCTGATTATCGCCGTGACTTCCTCAGAATCATTTTTGTCGTCTTTGCTCTGTTCTGATGATTCATCGGCATCTTTATCCTCAGCATCAACATCCATAGAATCGTCGGTCCAATGATGACCACTTCACCTCCATTCCTCTTCCTCGCGCTCCTAATAATCTTCCTCAAGCCATCCCGTCACTTTCGCTTCCAATACACCCTCAACCCTCCATTCACGTTACCCTCCACCCAGGTGAACCCATCAACAACACTTGACAAGGAAACCGCACAGCGGACAAGTCGGCTCCATCTCTTGCTTGTCTCACCACGCAAGCTCTCCCCACGGGAGTAACCATCCTCTTCGTCATCTTCATCTTCGATGATTCCATCGGTGAGCTGACCGCCTTCTTCCACATCTAGAACCTCCCCCATAACAAAAGGTGTGATAGCACCTACTAGTATTCATATTGTTTGGTACTAAGCTGATTCTTATTTGTTTTAGCTATGATCATCAATTCAGGTACCCACCATCCCACTCCTTCAGCATCTTCTTCGGCATTTCAGCCTGTTGCCCAGGCTACCTGAAGAATGCCGGCCCTTGTGCTATTGAATCTTCTGAGGTATGTTCTGGCGTGCTGCTGTAACCGAGTTGTTGATGCTAGACCATTTGAGGAAGTTGACTTCAAATTGAACACTTCCACCTCCCTCATCCGTAAACGAGCCATTGAATGCGAACGTTCGAATGGACCACTTCCACCTGCCTCATCTGTCAACGAACAGTTGAACGCAAACATTCGAACAAACCACTTCTACCCGCCTCATCCATCAACGAGCCATCGAACGTGAACGTTCAAATGGACCACTTCCACCCGCCTCATCTGTCAACGAACAGTTGAATGCGAACGTTCAAAGAAACCACTTCTACCCGCCTCATCCATCAACGAGCCATTGAATGTGAATGTTCGAATGGACCAACTCCACCCACCTCATCCATCAACGAGCAGTTGAACGCGAACATTTGAATGGACCACTTCCACCTGCCTCATCCATCAACGAGCTGTTGAATGTGAGCCTGCCAGGTAATGAACCCCAGCTATGACATTCACACATTTTCTAATTGATGTGCTACTGGACTGCCGATCAGAGTGGCATGGTGTTTGTTCAGATTCTCATCATCTCATTCACCTTGGTCGTAGTGCTGTTCCTCTCCTCTTACCAATATTAAATGTTCTACATCATGACCAAAGTCTAAGCGTGGAATGTCCCTGAAAGCAAAGGCACTTCACATGTCAACCCCATTCCTTAGTATACCTTTGGCTGACACCTTAGCATGCATCGTCATGACACATTCAATGGTGAGGAGCAGCAACCCTAGCCCCATTACCAGTGAACTTCGCCCTGCATAGGGTCACCTATTATTCCCAAAGACCCTACCAGTTTCTCTGAGATGGACAACTTAGGCACTGGGGTTATCCCTGACAGATCCTTCGTGCGAATGTATTATCGCCGAAGTAGTATAAGAACGCTGAATCTTCTCTCTAGCTGGGCATCTTCGAGCATAGGCTGCTATCCTCCCAACTAGGAGATCTTGGCAAACTTCCATGCTATGTCTGCTTACTGCGTCGATCGAGGTGCATGATGGTATGTTGTTCAAGTCGGCTGCATCATTGACTCATGTTGTTCTGGAAGGCTCTTGATTGCAAAAACGTGTGGAACTCATGTTTATTAACTGCCAGTGATTCTTTGTGAGTTCTTCAGGTTGAATGTTCAAAGCTTGGACTCAGAGGGTGCCAGTGATCGCACTACTTGCAATGCCAGCTAGCACCAACCTCCACACCCATAATACACACACACTCAGCCGCCCTCAGCCTACCCTGCCATGTCTAGCAGCAGGCTGCATCCGCCATTTTTACAATAGGTCCGGGCGTACTGCTCACATACGATCCCAGCATCCGACTGAACTTATGTTGGATGCTGAAGAATCTTGAGTCTCGCATTCCTCAGGCTCCTCAAGTAGTTCACACTCTGCAAGTCACCGCCACAGTCTGTCACGTTCATCATCGCCACATTCACCATTGCCCTGTTCACCATTGCCACATTCACCATTGCCACGTTCATCACATTCAGTGTCTTGACTCCAATCTGGCACTGTGCATTCCCCGTCAAACTCATTACATTCAAATTTGCACAGATTGGGTGATTCAGACAATGCTTCTGCTAGTTATGGTGGTGGCAGTCATAATCAATTTAATATAGAATCTAACCCGTTACACTGGGATAACAATCACGATGACAGTTACGACTACGATATGGAACCTCGCGTGCCACAGGATAATTTTGAGGGCGGGCATTTGGATGATACTGAACGAGACGCAAATGAGTCAGCTACAGATCGTCCTCCCTCAAGTTATAGTGCCAGTTCCAACTTGAATGGACAGTCCCAGGCCCGAAATCATATGGCTCCTCCTCCCATTACTACTAGATTGTACCATCCTGACATCAACGGTATGTGATTTCTCCTGATACTTGTAAATTGTACTCATACTCTACTCGTCAAAGGGAGAATCTGCGATGAACAAGGGAACTACATACCCTTGGATACTCCACCTCCATGCTCAACAGATCGTGGGCCCGATGACTGGATGCCCTACAATAATTGGGTTGAATTTGAAGTTGCAGACTTCCTATACCATTGCAACCAAATGTCTGGAGGTGACATCGACTTTGTGTTTAATCTGTGGGCTGCTTCATTGGCAGCTCATGGCGCCACCCCACCATTCAAAAACCATGTTGACATGTATAACACTATCGATTCAACTCCTCTCGGTGGTGTTCTGTGGCAAAGCTTCAGTTCACAGTATAATGGAGCACTTCCCAATGGTGATGTTCCGTCATGGATGACGTGCGAGTACGACGTGTGGTTCCGAGATCCTCGACTCCTCGTACACAACATTATCTCTAACCCCGATTTCAAGGACGAGTTCGACTATGCACTGCTGCAGGAGTATAGTACTAATGATGGAGCACATCGATTCCAAGATTTCATGTCAGGTGACTGGTGTTGGAAGCAGGCCGTAAGTCTTACTCACTCATTCCTCTGATGTCTCACTTTTTGCAGGACTTGATTGCGGAAGATCCAGATACAATTGGGTCGATGTTCATGCCCATTATCCTCGGCAGTGACAAGACAACGGTGTCCGTTGCCACTGGACATAACCAGTATTGGCCGGTCTACATGTCAATTGGTAATATCTGCAACAACGTGCGGTGTGCACACCGTAATGGTGTTGTGTTACTTGGCTTCTTAGCCATCCCAAAAAGTTTGTGCACTCTATTAATCATGTCTGTTGATATTCCCCGGGTCAATGATACTAATTAGACAAATGTATTTACTAGCTGATCACGAGTCCACCAAGGACGCACATTTCCCCAAGTTCTGCCGCCAGCTTCTACACTCTTCGCTTGCCAAGATGCTTGAAACACTTCAGCCTGGAATGACTAAGCCTGAGGTTGTCCGCTGTCCCGATGGTCATTTTAGACGAGCTGTGTATGGGCTTGGTCCATACATAGCTGATTATCCAGAGCAAGCTCTGCTCGCATGTATTGTGCAGAATTGGTGCCCAAAGTAAGTGTTTTATTATGCATGTTCAACTATACTAGTGCTTTCAAGTTTAGTACTATCTACTTACTACACATCTGTCTAGATGTACCGCACCAGCAGATAATCTCAATGAAGGCATGTATGGTCGACGTTCTCACGAGCACACTGATGTGTTAGTTGAGGAGTTTGAGTTAGGCGTGCTGTGGGACGAATACGGACTTGTTGGGGACATTGTAGTTCGTATAATAGCTCATCGTCACTGTTTTTTGATAACTTACAACTCTTACAGCCATTCACCAACTATTTCCCATGGGCTGACATACATGAGCTCCTCTCCCCCGACATCTTGCACCAGCTCATCAAGGGAGCTTTTAAAGACCACATCGTTACTTGGGTGCACGACTACATCGAAGCTCAATACTCGCGAAGTGAAGCAAACAAAATATTGGATGACATTGACCATCGGTAAGTCTCGCTTTGAATGCACTCTGTCAGTGCTACTATTTAATGCACTAATGTTCTACTTCTACTTCCAGCATTTCTCTTGCTCCGGCCTTTACAGGTCTTCAATGATTTCCGGAGGGCCGAGGGTTCAAACAATGGACTGGTGATGACTCTAAAGCGCTCATGAAGGTATGTTAACAAGTACTTCAACATTATTTGTGGTAGTATTAACTAATCAATTTACAGGTCTATATACCTGCCATTGAAGGCCACGTACCTTCGGAGATGGTGCAGGCTTTGCAAGTGTTGCTTGATTTTATTTATATTGCTCGGCGCAACATTATTGACACAAATAGCCTTAAAGCAATGGACAATGCAGTCGAGCGTTTCCATAAGTACTGTGAGATCTTTCGGACGTCTGGTGTTCGCCCTAAGGGATTCAATCTCCCTCAACAGCACTTATTGGTCCATTACCATAAGCTCATCCAAGCTTTTGGCGCACCAAATGGCCTTTGTTCTTCCATCACCAAATCAAAACATATAAAGGCCGTCAAAGAACCGTGGCGGCAATCTAGTTGTTTTGAGGCTCTTAGTCAAATGCTAATCACTAATCAGTGTTTGGACAAGTTGGCAGCATCACACATTGACTTCGCTGAATGAGGGATGCTACGTGGAAGTTGTTTGTCATATACCTTGGACAGACTTGGTAAGTCTACTACTAGTATCTCTTGCATTGTGACTTTTGCGATGCTCGAGTTCATGAATACTTACAATGAACAATAATACTCTCTCAATCTGCAGGGTTAGATGCTCACAATACCAATGATGTCGAGGACACCAAGTCCGTCGTCAATCCCCAATTTGAACATAGACGCAGCAATATCAATGCTGACTCGGAAGCTAACGCAGACGAAGATGGTGATGCTGTTGATGGGCCGACAGTACTACTAGGTCATGTTGACTTGGCAAAGACAGTTGGTAAGCAGCACTTCATTCACACACGTGCTACCGCCTGCTGGTATACTAACAATTAGCTTTACTATAGTAAAACAGATCTACTCAGACGACGTTGCAGACCAGATCGGCCAACCAAACTTCACACTTCTTATTCACCGTTTTTTGCGCAACCAGTGTCGTGGTTCTTACTTGGTATCCAACTCATCTTCCAGCGACTCTACACTTCCGGAGGTCTATGAAAAGATCACACTATACAGTTCTGCCGTCGCCACCTTTTTTGCTCCAAGCGATATATCAGGAATCGGTGGCATGCACTACAAACGTATTCGTGCTGTAGACACCTGGGGGAATGGTCCTGGACGACACGACTGCATCTTCATTAGTACCGATCCATCTGCTGAGGGCATGCGCGGCTTCGACATTGCACAAGTAAGACTTTTCTTTTCATTCAAACACAATGGTATCTTGTACCCTTGTGCACTCGTGCATTGGTTCAAGCGTGTGCGTAACTTACCAGATGAGATTACAGGCATGTGGGTGGTAGAGCCCGAGGTTCTTGAAGATGGAACCTGCTTGGCATCTGTGGTCCACCTCAATGCTATACTTCGTGCAGCGCACCTTATCCCAGTATATGGAAATGACTTTGTCCCAACTTATCTCTCTTACACTCAGACACTTGATGCTTTCCGTACTTATTATGTCAACAAGTACATTGACCATCAGGCATACGAGATTGCATTTTGACTTAGCTTGCTTGTCCTCACTGGCACCACTTATACTATCTTTATACTGATTATATTTCCTTCTGATTCCCAAACTACATAGTACTAGTACTAAGTTATGGGTACTTATAGCTAACTACTGGTAGTGCTAGCACTATACTGGCGATATTGGCAGCAATTCGGTGCTAATATTACTGCTATAATACTTGCCCTGCTGTCACATGATTTTTTGCCAAAGTAATAGTCGCACACTCAATGTTGTGTATCACGCACTTGGCGTTGTTACCCTTAGATTACTTAATTCTCAGATGCATCGCTTACTGTTGTAATGTTTTCTTTGTGGACAATTCTCCAAGTCAAAATTAAGTAAAACTTATCTGCTTAGATGTCTTGGTGAACTTAGCATAAAAATAAGTCAAGATAAGTAATATAAGTTTGCTAAGAATTTTCCTGATTTTCCTGATAGGCTGGAAGCCACCGGTATAGGAGGATGTGCATGTGCATGGCATGGATGTTTTGTCCCACATTCCATGATGGACTTTCAGAAAGGCGAAAGGTTGGTACATGTTTCATCTGGTCACATCAATGGCTGATCTTGCAATTCTTACTTGGAATAATCAGGCAGATGAACATGGACTATGTATTAAGTCAAGCGCTCAACTACAAGACCGATGGAATATCTCGCGCCATAACTTTCTATGACATAAATTGTCAGTATAACAAGTATTTGAAGGACCGGATCGCTTCCAGCATGTATCTTTCCATACCAACCGGTATGGATATCATTCCCGGAATCGGTTTGTGGCATGTACATGGACATCAAGACAGCTGCTTTGTCCGTTATGCATCAAATTTCATCTATGGGACTGGCAGGATAGATGGAGAGATTATGGAGACCCTCTGGGTGCCTTTGAATATAATCTCTCCTTTGGCCAGGGGCATGGGAACTCCCCATCGCAAGGAGGTATTGGACTATCAGATGAATGATTGCAACTTCATGAAAATGATTCGTATAAGTAAGTCGCCCACCTCTGGATGTAAATATATTGTCTACTCATACAATGCATGTCTGGTTGGCACGTCCGGTAGTCAAGTCTCTGTCCAGAAAGTTGAAAGAGGCTATTAAGGGTGCTGCAGAGAGCAAACTTGCGTTTTATAATCTCAACGAGACAGCCAACCCTGACATGGTCATTCTTTGGGAGGCAGAGGAGACACTCGCTCATGAGAACAGAGCCAAGGATTCTACAGCTATGGACATCTATGAGGTCTGGTTGGAAAGGGAAGTGTCAAGTTTTATTGGGTTTCCGGCAGGTCTGACAATACTGTTGTACAGCTCCAACAAGAAAACAGCAGGAGTTGCGCCTGTTGCAGGCTCAAAATCGCCCTGAACATCCAGACATCAACCCCCCCAGTCGCCGAGGAGCCACCACTTGGCTCGCAACCGGTCTTACCATAGAGGAATCCCAAATATCTCTCTCAAAGGATGTAAAATGTTTATGAATGCACCCAACAGATATGCAATTGTTGAGAGTGGCATGATGCCGGGATAAACTTTATACTCGGATCATGAGCTTTCTCGAGATGGCACCTACTTATCTTGGAGTTGAAGTCGATGTCAACGACCCGGATTGTCCTGTGAATAGTGTTCGTAATTTGCTCCATGATGATGAAGGTTACTCAGATCTTGACAATGATCAAAATTCTGATCCGAACCCACTCGACACTTCCATGTTTCAACCGGAGCTCACTGTCATACCTCTGCCATCCAACATTGGTGAGGTGAGGTGCAGGGAGTTAGGTCTCACCAATCTCATGAAAGAAGAAATTTCCCTCAGAGAAGGCCAGGCAAATGACGCACTCCATGCCATCAGAGTTCATTTAGGAGATAAAGCTCTTATATTCCACAATACTGTCCAGTCGGCCAAGTCACAGGCATCATCTACTAGGGCATGGACTCGAGTTCGCTCAGTGGAAACAGCTGTAAATCTCAATGCAAGTATCTATTCAAAATGCCGGTCGCAACTGGCCAAACTCCCTGACCACGACCTCTTGAAGAAATACCTTCCTTTGAAAAAAGAAGACCTCAAAGCCAGCTCTGCAGTGGCCGATCCAAATGCACGTGGTCAGAGGGACACCACTCTTTCATGGTTCTGGTCTCTGGATGTCCAGGGCGACACATCAGGGAATGACTGGATGACAGAATGTGAGTGTCTGTTGCATCTGGATATACCCAGTCCTTTGGTCTCACATGTTTTCATAATAGTTTACTGGGTTAATTGGCTCCGGACAAAAGCACTGCGCGATCGTTGGAATGAGGAAGTTATTCTCGTCAAACATGAAATGCAGTGGTCAATCAATTTCTTTAACCACAGAGCCAAGCAATGGCTCGGTCACATGCGCAATGCCACTTCTGCCGGGCTCACTGGACATACATGTTATGCTGCCAGACAATCTCACATATATGAGCAACTAGCAGCACATGCAGAGGATTCTTTTCGTAAAATGCTAGTTCAGCTAGAAGTACCGGTATCAGTCACCATTGTTGGTGGTACCGGTTAACCTTAATTGTGGTTGCTTGCCAGTTGATAACACCTGTTAGGTAATATATACTTATGTTGGCATGTAAATAATCCTAGCTTGTCTGTCACACTACAGCCTCACATTCCTCTACAATGAACAATACTGTAACCCTCATCCTCTTTTCCTGTCATATAGACCTTTGTGTCACCTTTCATCCATATATGTTTTATCACCCAGTTGTCTGCTATGATTCCTCAACTTCTCAAGGATGTGCTCTCAATCATGATTGCACACACATTGGCGGACTGGCGACTGGATGTCAATGCCATTTTCCAGGATATCTGGGCATTGCGCCTCTCTGCAGATTCAAAAAAATTCGATGACTATGACATTGCTCATATGCCAGACTACTTCAATGACTGGTGGAAGGAATCACTTGGTTGTTGCAGGGTTTCAGACATGTTACCCAAGTCATGCGTCCAAGATGTTATGGATTTGGTCAGATGGCACTTTTCGCAGCTGGTAGGTCTATAAGATCTTGTTAACACCGGATACTCACATCATCTATGACAGCCTGATCATGTGAGGACCGGCCTTCTGCCATATATTGTGCAGGGTCCAGATGAGCTGCCGGATACACCTGGTTCAACATCTTGTGTGCAGTGGCACCGGACACCAATTGGGAGAGAGTTGGTGGATATGTTGCAGATAAGAATGATGAATCTTAGACGTTCAAGTGATCAGTTGGCTGGATTGGTTGGGCCAATTGATGAAATCACAAAGGCTGTGTCATCCTCACAGGCACTCATTGACCAGTTGAATATAGATGACAGTGTATCCATTTCACAGTAGACCACAACCCAATGTCTGCCACTATCCAGCCAATTTATTACACAATCACGACATATTTACCGGAATGTAAATGATGTCTGTCCATGCAATCAGGCCATGTGAATGTTGACCTATTTTTTCCAACAGATACAACAGTGGTGCTTTATTGTCACTTGATTTTTTTTAGCAAGCCATGGTTACCATTCCACTTGACTGGGCCTTGTACCAGACCTACCTTGCCGGTGAATTGGTGCATGAGATTTTCACGTCTACAATTCTTCACCGACCGGTAAAGGATATGGACCTTGGACTCTTGGATATCGACACTTGTATAGCTTTGGAGCAGCTCGCCAATGTGATGGCCACTGCTTACTCTAACCCCGGTAGGTATTCTGGTGCATTTATCTGTTCCGGTAAACTCACCTGCAGAAAGTTCATCTTAAAATAGACATGGTCAGATATAATGACGCCCTGGACAAAGATGAATCTGGTCGAAGTGAGAAACGAGAGGAGATTCTTTTCAACAAATTTCCTCCTGAAAAGGATCGTTTCTTGACAACCCCATCTGTTGTCATTGATTCCGGCGGTAGAATCATTGTCTGGTATTTACCTGGAGCACTGACAGCTATGATAATGGTTGGTCCTGTATCAATTTCCATTTGTAATTCTAGCTTACCTGTATATATATCACAGAACGATATTCATGGTGCTACACATTCCATGAGTGGTTTAATGAAGCACAGCATAACGACAGGCAAGATTTCTCAGTGGAGGACCCACCGGTCTAACTTCCATCCAAGTCCGGATGGTATTATCACTCCCGGTTGCATCAATATATCCCCTGCATGGTTTCAGCAAGAAAGAGAGGTACATCTGGTTCACATGCATTGAAACAACTGGTTTGAATTATTGTAGAAACATGGCTTCCCTAATCTCGACCCAGAAGATGGTTTCTCACCAGAGGTATCAGCAGCACTGAAAGGTGACGCTGGTCGCAATATTATGGCATCCCTTCAAAGGTCCAGTATCATTGTCTCTGCTGCACTTCGAGTCATACACCCTGATCTTTATTGGGCCGGAATGGAAACTCAAGTCAGGCTTGGTAAATGGGCTGCCCAATATCAATTGGACGACATGCACCATCATCTTCAATGCTGGACATCCATTTTTAACGTGGTATCAATCATATGCAATCGCCGGACACCCCCTCATAGAGATCCCAAATGTCGACCGGCAGCATTTGATATCATGACGACTGCTGGTGTTTATCAGCCGGTCATCATGGATTTTATGAACCTTGGTATCAAATTTCTATATGACTCTGGCTTAATACTGGCTTCATCATGTTGACTGGTGAGACATTACATGAATGTGGAAGAGGGTAACAAGATTGTCACTGCGTGGTATATGCGAGATAGCATCCACAATTTTGTTGGCACTCCGAGCACGGAGTATGCAAAATATGACCGTGTAAATATTTAGTAACTCCATGTATTCAGTCACATATATTGGCTGTCAATCTCATTTGATATCATAGACACACAGTATGTGTATAGATCAGGATGTATATACCAGATGGACCGGATGTACATGGCTGGATCATAAACTGTACAAGCACCAGATAGGGTATCGTGCTATCCACATTATATAATTCACTCCATCCCTCGGCCCACTCAGTCCACTCGTCTCCAGTTATCATACACTGTATGCACTGGATAGGCTATTACACCCCATCCATCGGCCCACTCGTCTCCTGTTAGTCTACTCTGTATGCACCGGATAGGGTATTATACCTGATATATCCCACCTCATCCATCGGCCCACTCATCTCCTGTTAGTCTACTCTGTATGCACCGGATAGGCTATTATACCTCATATATCCCACCTCATCCATCGGCCCACTCGTCTCCCGTTAGTCTACTCTGTATGCACTGGATAGGCTATTATACCTCATATATCCCACCTCATCCATCGGCCCACTCGTCTCCCGTTAGTCTACTCTGTATGCACTGGATAGGCTATTATACCTCATATATCCCACCTCATCCATCGGCCCACTCATCTCCATTGTGCTTCACATATCGGCCCACTCGTCCCCATCACACCTATCCCCCTGGCCCACTCGTCATCCATTGCACATAGTATGTACCGGCCCACTTGTCTCCATTGCGCACTGCATTAACTGCTATTCACATAGATATCCTATATAGCACATTCCTATACTGCCATATACACTATATACTACCGGCCCATCCGTTTGTAACAGGTACACACCACCCATCAGCCCACTCATCTAACACGGTACAATTACTACCATGGGCCGACATGGGCTGGCCCGCCTGTATTGGTACATTGTCATCCTCAGCTGTCCATCTAATACAGGTATAAGTTACTGTACTATGTGTAGGAACTCGCCGGCCTCAATGTGTGCACAGATAAAATGGTACCTAAGGTCGATGTGCTTCATGCACGTGTGATTGGCAGCTTCTTGCGAGAGCGCTATTGCACTGGCATTGTCTGCAAACAGACGAAGCAGGAGGGAGAGAGGAACCTTGAGACAGGTGAAGAGCGACTGAATCCAGAGGCCATCCTGAATCGCTGTGGTCAAGGCCATATACTCTGCTTTGGTAGAAGAGAGCGCATGAGTCACTTGCTTCTTTGACGCATGAGAGATAGGGCCGCCATTGAAGAACCAGATGTAGCCACTGATGGAGATGTGATCCTCAGGGCAGCTCACCCAGTCGGAGTCACTGTAACCGTGAAGTTCTGCTCAGATATTCACACCCCCATAATGGACACGGACATTGAGAGTTCCTGCAAGAAATCATAGGATGTGTTTTGCAGTGGTGTAGTGACGAGGCTCAGGTGCTGCATTGTATTGTGCAAGCCACATAACAGCCAGCGCTATGTCAGGTCTCGTGTAGAGTGCAAGGTAAAGGAGCTCCCCAATGAGCTTACAATATTCTGACGTGATGTCTTCAATGTGAGGGTGAATGTCTGTGTCATGGTCGAAAGGGAATTTAGGGTCCATGGGAAGGCTCACAGGGTTGCAGTCGAGCATGCCGTGTTCGTCAAGAAGGTAAGTGATGTACTCTGTTTGATGCATCCAGAGTTCTCGAGTCTCGCATCTGCATTCGAACTGTATCCCGAGGTATTTCACCACTGGCCCCAGGTTGGCGATGCCAAAACATTCCCTGATCTGCTTCTTAACCCAGTCAAGAAAAACATGCTGATTTGCCACCACAAGACCATCGTCCATGTGCCAGGCGATAATACAGACAGTGCACACTCCCTTATTGTCAACGGTGTCATAAACAAACACTGCGTAGTCTGCATCACAGCGGAGGAAACCAAGATGTGTCAGAACCTCCCATAAGAGTTTGTACCAGTCGTAAGCGGCCTGCTTCAACCCATAGAGACTTGACAGCAAGTGACAAACAAGACACCCACCTCCAGGACCAAAGCATTCGAAACCCAGAGCTTGACACATATACACATCTTCTTTGAGCTTCCCCCAGAGGAACGCACATTTCGCATCGAAACTGTCGATTTCCCAGTCAAGCTGTGCCGCCAGTGCTGAAATGACTCGAATTGAAGTGGGTCTGGCCATGGGTGCGAACATCTTCCCAAAATCAACACCTGGGATCTGAGAGAACCCTTGTGGCACTAGATGAGCCTTGAAAACAGGTCCTCCTTGAACTCGAGTACCCATCTGCATCCAATTGCTTTGCGGTCCTCAGGCAGGGTGACGAGTTCATCGACACTCATCTCTGACATTAGGTTCATCTCCTTCCTCATTGCAGCAAGCCAGTGGTCTCTGTCCAGACGACGAAGTGCTTCATCGTAAGTATTTGGAGGTATCTTCAGATTTCAGCCAGGCACTGAGGGGTTACAGCACGTATCACTATGAATGGCCACATCTGCCTGCTCGACAACAATCGAAAAACCAACTGTCAAAGTCTTGGGGATGATAGCATCTTCATCCACAACCGCCAGAGCAGCCGCTGGGCCATTGGCAGTGTGTGCGACAGGTACATTTTTGGATGTGCTCGATTCATCGCTGATGGCAGACGGGTGAGCAACTACTGGAATGGGAGGTACATCGCACCCTTCAGGAGCATCAGGAGGTGGCACACCATTAATGTGTGCCAAACAGAGTTCACGTTGACAGGCTAAATGAGTGCGATCAGCCGTCAGTTTCTCCTGGTAAGCATGCCCATGCTCAGTCCCTGTGCATGCACGAGTAGAGATGTGAGGAGGGGGAAGGTGATATGGCATGGAACCTGAAGCAGGTGCAGGATGGGATGCGGGTGGTGGTGTAGGCACAGACATGGAAGGCTGCACAGGCACTGGAGCAGGCACTGTATCATCTTCCTCATCATCCGAGTCAGGAAAAGGGCGTCCAGAGGATGACTCGTTGAAGATGACATCGCAGGAGTTGAAGAATGCGCCCGTGGTCTTATCCCGGAGACGCCAGGCCTTAACACCGGGTGGGTAACCCATAAAAAGTGCCTCGCGTGAATGCGGACCCATCTTTTCCTGCAGTTCAAGGGGGATTCTGGCAAAGCAACGTGATCCGAAGACATGGAGGTGGGAAACATCAGGCTTGAGAGTGTGCAGCATCTTATAAGGCATTTTCCCAGGTGGGAGAGCATGAGATTCGGATCGGTTGAACAAGTAAGCGACACATAGTGCAGCTTCACCCCACAAGGACTGGGGGAGACGGGCGTGATCAAGCATTGCATACATATGGCCCTCTACCGTGCATAGGACTCTCTCGGCCTTACCGTTCTGCTGATGAGCATAAGGGGCAGACAGTTGCCGTTCAATTCCTGCCATCTCGAGCGTCCTGGTGAAAGCTGCATTGATGAACTCACCTCTGATGTCACTGTGAAAAGTCTTCACGTGCTGACCCGACATGTTCTCCCACCGAGCTCAAACCAACTGCCATGCACTGAGTGCCTGATCCTTTGTCACCAGCAGCTGGAGGTCGAGGACATTGATGTGATCATCTAAGAACATGATAAAGTACCTCTTGCCGTGCGGTGTCTCCGTCAGAATAGGGCCACATAGGTCGGAATGGATGAGCTCGAGAAAGTGTGATGCAGGTGGTGAGTCAGATGACGGATAAGGCTGTCTAGGGTGCTTTCCCAAGATGCATGACTCGCATTTCGAAAGTGGCTCCGTGGAAGTGATGGATGCCCCCTTCATGAAGAGGGGTAGACGACGCACGGCATTACCACCGGGGTGACCCATACGGGCATGCCAGAGATCAAGTGTCAAAGGCACATGCACAAACACTGTAAGATCAGGTGCTGCCGCAGACTGTATGGGTGCAGGAACAGGAGGAGGACAGATAAACTCCAGATCAACAAAGCAAAGTTCATTGACCAGAGGAAGCGAGCCCAAAAGCTTCTCCCGATAGGATAGATCACAACGTGCAGGCATACCGACAAAATTGCACTTCCAGCCCTGATCAACCATGTGTCCCACCGACAGAAGGTTTATCATAGTGTCGGGTGCATGCAAGCAGTTCGTCAGATGCACACGGTATCTCTTCCCACCAATATTCAGCCCCACAAGACACTCACCACGTCCAGAAGTGGACAGGCTGCCATGATTTGCCATTCTCATGACCACAGGATCTGCCGTTGAGTATGACCAGAAGAATTTGCAGTCCCGGACTAATGTGACAGTTGTGCCTGAGTCAAGAATAGTAGAGTGGGCAGCGGAGGTGAATGCAGCAACATTGTGCGGTGGAATGTGAGACATGGACACCTCGGGAAGCTCTGTGATAGAGGCACAAGCAAGGTCAGCGAAGAAACCCGCAGCAGTGGCTGAAGAGCCAGCGAAAGTCTCAATAGAGGAATTGCCAAACACAAAAGCAGCCACTGGAGGTGGTGGGGCAGGAGCTGCAGGAACAGGAGCCGTAGGAGCAACTGTAATAGCTGCTGTTGCGGTCTTCTTGTTCTTTTGCCATAGTGCCTGACCCTCCATCCCACCTCCTCTGCGATAGCAGTGTGGCTGATCATGATCTCCCTTGCTGCAACCTGGTGTTGTGCAGAAAACACCATCAGGGTTGTTCCAGTTCTTGCGCAAATTGGTGATAGGATTGATGTTGTTGTTGCCTGAGGTGGTCGTCACTGTGTTAGCGTATTCCGAACCTGGTCCACTCATTACTTTCTCATCAAGTTCACGACCAGCCTCAGCAGAGATCCGTGACACGCAGTCTTCAAAGGTGAGAGGTGACGTCATGGAGAAAGCATCCTGAATGCGTTGATGAAGCAACCCTTTGAATTGCGACCATGAACCTGCATGTGGGAGTCCATGAAGGAGCTGATATATGGTGTCTTCGTCAGGATAGCTGGCGCCCATCCTCATGAGTCGCTCACATAAGGTAGAGTGACAAGCTATATAGTTAGATGTGTCCGCAGTGTCCTTCATCTGAAGTGCACCAATAGAGTTCCGAATGACATATTGCGAACTGATATCTGTTCGTCCGTAATGATTTGCAAGTATCTTCCAAGCCTCACATGCAGTGACTTTATGACTGTCAGAGATGAACTGCTGGACAGAAACTAATAGGCATCAAGTTATGATGGCTTTAGCTTTAAGGTCGTCAACAAGCCACAAGCGAATGGCTTTAATCTCGTCAACAATTGGACTAGCTACATTAACAGCGACAGGAATGTGTGACGCGACACCGAGAATGTTGGTGGGATCTACGGAGGTGGAAACATGACACCAGAGATCCTCTGTCCCCAGTGCATAGGTAACCTCTCATTTCCATGCGAAATATGTTTCCAGACCTGTCAGTTCTGGAATATGGCCGAGCTTCCCCATAATGAGAGGATGAATGAAGACAGTAATAAAATATGGGGTTTCACGTCCAATGTGAGGTTCCGCTTAGGAAGCAAGGCTCATAACCAGTTGGAACTAAGAGAAACACGCTCAGTGTTGTAAGACAACAACTAATGACATTCATAGTACCTAAGAGAAACACACTATAAGTAGTGTTGTGCATGGCCCGGCTTTGGGCCATGAGCCAGCCAAAGCCGGCCCCCATTGAGCCGGGCCAAGCCAAGCCAAAGTCACGGCTTGCGCAGGGCTTTGGACTGGCCCATCATTCTGCAAAGCCGGAGCCGCTGGCCCAAGCCGGGGCTTTTGGGTATTATGTACAAGTACCGCCACAGGTGTACAAGTCATGACTTTCGCTGTCGGTTCCTGCCACTTCCAGGTCACATACCCCAGCTTTCATCTTCATTAATTGATTAATACTATCATTATTGTCCATGGGTCCTTTTGCCGACCTTGATGATGAACAAAGGTACTCTCACCCAGCTACCTCCGTCCTTGTCACCCAGCTACCTCCAGTCTGCATGAGGTACATTCACGGTGTGCGCATGTAGAGTCAACTCTGGATGGGGAGTTGGTGGCATTAGGTATGGATGAAGTAGACTTTCAAGTGGGGATCTCTTTCTCTCAGCTGCAAAGGTGCATGTATTGTATGTTTCTATGCTACTTCATCATGCTAACTGATCATTTTTAGTAACTTATGATTACTCTTGTGCATACCACCACTTGCGCCCTCTCATTCTTCCCGTCTCGTCCCTCCTTCCACTCCTTCCACTGTTCAGGCGTGTTCCAGTGTCCTCCGCATATGTTCGAGCCACGTTAGCATTTGCTGACGTGCGCCAAGCATGTGCGCTCAGCACTGGTCTTTATAGTGACCTGCGGGTATACTCTCCATCCTTGCCACCCAGCTACCTCCATCCTCATTATCTGAGCAAGACCATCAATGACAACATATCACCACAGATGGTCTTAAATGGCCACCTTCTTGCCCGTCTCATCGCTCGCAAGTCGCAACGATGAAGTCCACGAATGGCAGGATATGATATTGGAGGTTCAGGTATGTGGCTCATCGCATGCTGTTATCATCTTATTGTTTGATCTACTCATAAATCATTAAGTCATTTGCCTACCCATGCTCAGGCCATGGCTCAGGCCGGGCCAAGCCATCATCGAGGGCTTGGGCCCAGCTTGTGATTTCTCAAAGCCGTGGCCGTCTGAAGCCAAGCCAAAGCTGGGGCTTTCAAGCCAAGCCAGGCCGGAACATCACTAACTATAAGAGAACACAGCATGAGATAGAGACGGCGGGATAAGATAACAGTTGACATACCTCAGTGTTGTAAGACAACGACTGAGGTATGAGTGAACAAGCGAGATTATAAACTAAAATGAATCACGTGTATGATAGGAATTGAGATTAGGTAAGAACGAAAAGACAAAAGCAGGTATACTGGGCCCAGCCCTGACAATGGGCCTGGGCTGGGCCTGGGCTGGGCTGGGCTAAAGCCCGGGCTTGAAGTTCATGATAATAGTTAGATATTGAGTGAAAAAAATCCTTTCGCTATACTACTACTCACCAAGTCATACTACTGTGACTACCTCATCTGCATCCCCCTCGAGTAGCTCATCATCCTCCTCAGCAGGTTCTTCAGTCAAGGACGAAGGTCCTGGCTCACGAAACACCAAGTCATGATGGAGAAGACATTTCATGACTTGCAATGCCTCGACAACATCTTCCTTGAGGCGGTTTCAGCGCTTGGTGATTGTTAATGCTGCGGACGAAAATGCTCGCTCACTCAATATGGATGACACCATGATAGCTAAGAAATCCCATGCAATAGCTGTCCACACTATTTATACCATGTTTTTACACATTTTTTGACTTTTAATAGATGGCGCAGTGGTTTCTAAGACACTGTTCTCTCATTTATAATGTCTGAAAAATGGCCATCAAATAAGTATAAAGGAAATTTAAGTCGAAATCAGAGGACGAGTGGCCTTTTTGTGACTTTTCTCGCATTGCTCTGAATTTTTATTTTTGGTCCCTTAAATGTGTTTTAAGTTACTATCAAGTCATAAAAATGAATCCGTTAGTTTCCTGATGTACTTGTGCTACGTCACCTTATTTATATTTTGAGTTGCGACTTGGACCTAAGTATTAGTTCACTGGCATTTCGCTCCTTCAAGTCTGATTCAATTTCTATCAGATCTGATGGCGGCACTAACGAACAAAATATACATGCAATTCGAGGTGACCTGCACTGTGCAGTGCTCCATTAAGTTAATCGATTCCCGTCCTTTCAGATTCTACGCGAGAAACAACGATATTTTGATCATTTGCGTATGTACTTGATTCAGATATGTACTACAAAATACGTGGCGTCCCGGTCCACTTGAGGATTCAGGAAATACATAATGTATGTGTCGTTCGAAGGAGTCAAAAATACAAAAAGAGTGTGAGATGTTATTATAATTCATACAAATGAATGATCGAATGCTCCTTCCGTTCAAAGTACAATGAATGACAACAGCGAATGAGGGTGGATTACTCGTAGCACAAACGTTTTCAATCGGAACCATCTACCACCTCACGACACTCCATGAGACCAACGTCATCATAGCAGGCATGAAGGACGCTCCTGAAGGCATCGTTTCTCAAACAGGGGAAGTTTTCTGTTCATCTAGTGAATGTTGCCAAGATAATACCAACGGACTGTTGTGTTTGCGTTCTTTGACGACATAAAGGGGGAATGAGGTTGCTGATGGAAGTATCGCAGGCACACGAGGAGCGCGATTAAATCTGTAGCACATTTATCAGCAAAGTGTTTTTTGCTCACAATAAGCCACGTACTCATTCGAGTTCATACGCTGTTGCAGCCTTGCTGGGTAGAATCCGAATATCTTTGCTACCCACCAAAATGCTATGCCGTAGTTCTTCCGCGCTTCTGCGGCAAACCCAAAGAAAGCGAAAAATGTGAACGCACAGAAGACTACAAGCCACCGCGTGAGCTGGATGGCAACAACCAGGAGGTAGTTCGTTGTCCACAGAACAGACGGGTATTGCATGACACGCGAAAAGTCGTAGTGAACATTTTCCCAGCTGATCCAGGGCTCTACAGGATGTGCTGCCGAGTTGAGCCATATTATAAAAGACGCGAGGGGGATGGTGCACAATATTTCCGCCATTGCGAGTGCCATGAGACGGAAGTAGCGACTAGCGCTGAGAGACTTGTTGGATTTCAAAAAACGGGTGAATTGTGCACGGCGGAGGTAAAAAGCCTTCAATGAAAGACCTGCGGGCGGTAAGAACGAGGACAGCAAACCACCAAGAAGAGGCGTACCACAATAGACCGAAGATACAAGGCCAATAATTATAGGCCAGCTATCCGACAAGAAAAACGCTGGTAGCGTATTGTAAATGAAAGGGTAGCAGCCGATGTCTTCGTAAATATCAAAGCGATGGCCCTGTACGACATATTCTGTAAAAGGATCAGTGGGATGCGTGTTGTGGATGAAAGCAGTGCACTCACGGAGCGCAACGACTATCATAGGAAAGAGCACGCAAATTAGGGTGTCAATAAGGATGGCTCGTCGTTTCTAAAAGAAGATAAACAAAGGAACTGAGACTCCGTTGATATTGACCCATACCGCTTCATCTGTGAGTGCGACCGCATGAGTTTTCGCGATGTTGTATAATCTGCGATTAATGCATAGTGACGCGGCAGGAATGCCCACTGAAGCACCGAGCATGATTCGAATGGCTGCACAGAGTTTCAGGAAACAAGTAGCGGAAACATAACATAACATCACTTACAAATGTCGCACCAGATGGGTGCCCAGTTGATGGCATTGTTATGCCAAACGATGGAGTTGATGAACTGGTTGAGGCAAGAGAGTGCCGCCCAAATCATGTAATAGCATGTTCCCGAGTTCCATGCTTGTAGATGCCATGGAAGAGGTATAAGTGTGACCACGAAGCCAAGGAAAGCAAAGATGGGGTAAAGAGGATAGTCCAACCCAGTCATAATGATGGTAGAGAAAGAGTAGAGATTAATCGTGTCAAAGGACGGAGAGCGTAAACGATAGGCTTATAAAAGACATTTTGTGGTGCACAATGCATTGTGTCCTTGCTGTGGACAGTCCATTGTCAATTTGTGGCTACGTGTCGGAGACAAATGTTACAGTGGTCAGTCCCAAATTTGGACCATTCACCGGAAACAATACCACAAAATACACCTGTGATTATCGAACAATGGTGATTATGAGTTTCTATATAATATGGACGTAGATTCCTTTGTACCAATATTTTAGTCCACAAGTCTCGAAGCTCACTACGCCAAAGCTGTTCCATATGGATCACTTCATCACTTTGCTCGATCTAGAGCCATCGCCCTTTGTTGGGTCATCACATAGTACAGAACCAAAACCCAATTTGGGTGACCCACTGTCACAACTCGAAATGCAATATATCGAACCTTCCGACTCACTACCGGTTGATCAAGACAACCTGACCAATTACTTTTCCAACTTGTGTGTCATTGTATAACGTTTGCGGCTTGCCGCCGGTCACTCTGAGGGCCAGTGTGAGGTATGTCCGTTTAACATCTCTCTTTCGATGGACGTCTCCTCAACCAGTTTCTATGGACAAGGTACTACATACCGTATGCGCTAGTTTAGCGTTAAGTCATTAGGACTAGATGCTAGCCCTCGCATCATTTATTTTACTGGCTCTTGCAGGACTCGGACCTTCGCGCTGTCGGACGTTTAACTGCGACATACCAAGTTATTTATAGCACAGTGCTTACTTATGTGGCTGTATCCCTCCTTCGACGCTCCTTCGACTCACATTTAACTGCTATATACTCATCTATAGCACAGTGCTTAATTCTGTGACTATACCCCTCCTTCGAAGCTCGTTCTCTTCGTTTTCGTGTTTACCTGTGACATTAGCACAGTACTTGATTTAGTGCCTATACCCCTTCTTTGACGCTTGTTGCCTTCGCTGGTTTCTTCGTCAAGCGTGTACCTGTGGTGTTTCTACCTATAGCATAGTGCTTAATTCTGTGACTATACCGCTTGGTGGACCCGCTGCTTGTGCAGCATTACATGTTTTCGTTCGTGTACCCTAACTACTTTCCTAGTAGTACTTATTCATTCGTCTTTCTTTACTTACTACCTGCTGATTGTAGTTCTACTAAGCTGCCGTTGTTCTTACCTACCTTGTAACCACTGCTCTCTGTCATTTGACTCATGTTCTGCTGTGGTTATAACTGTTACTGGGTTCTTCCTTAGTTGGTACGCTGCCTCTGCCTTTTTGCATTGTTGTAATTTGGCTCATGTTGCGTCCTGAACCTCGTTCACTGTATCTCTTCCACTTCTTAGTAAAGTCGAGCTCGGGTAGCTACGATTAGATGCTCACAACCGTTCAGGGCCAGTCGCTATGTATGTGCACACAGTTAATGACAGCATATGATTGTCATATTGAATGTATATACGCGTAACCCAGTATATCTAGAAGCGAATGTACCTGACTAGACTCATGACTAGTTCTCACTATGCGGCCCGCTTGCCTCGTAGCAAGGACTCGTCACGAGTCTAGTACATGACATAACTTGGAGGGTGAATTGGAATCTCACCCCACAGCTATTTGTCCAACAGTGTCGTGTACGTAGATGTAAAATGACCGTGATGATTAAGGAGTGTAAATGACTACGAAATGAGTCGAGTCGTCTGTATGTATGTCAACATACGTGCAAGACAAAAAAAAATGATGCCAGGACTTGTGGAAAGTCGACAAAGATAAGAGGGAAGGTTGGGTGCAGAAAAAGGAAGCCACGAGAGAAGATCGAAATTGGGGTAATAGTGGCCACGAAGCAGTGTCTGTGAACGAATGACAAACGAAGCAAATAAAGCAAAGCCTCGGAAAGTAAATAGATAGATCCCATTCATCTCTTGCGAACGAAGCATGACTTAAAGTCATAAGCTGTACGTCGCGTCTATCAGCCTGACGAACGAACGAAAATGAAGGCGAGCGTACATCACAGATCGTTTTCGAAACAGTAACAGGCGCCGATACCTGCGACACATGCTTCATGCAATGGTACAATAGAAGCTAGAGTTGCTGCTTGCGTAGGTGTGTTCAAATTCCAAAGGAACTGATTCAGCGGGATGGGAGGTGAGAGATTCAGGAAAGGATAAGGACTCGAGAACGTCGAATGAGTCTGTCACCGGGTTTGACGGTAGACCCGATGGCGGGATTGTCTGTGAGCGCATAAATGGGTGGCGCGAGAAGGCTTGCAAGGCCAACGTCGATATTAATGTCAGTGAGGTGGCGCTGAGTAGCGCGACAGAGGTTACTGGCCTGGGTGCTAGGCGCAAGGCTATTACAAAGGATGGAAAGTTGGCAGTCATGGTGACCAAGCTTTGTCTTCCTTTATACCATGTTGTGGAACAATGATATTTACTCTGCATCCATTGTGGAGTAGAAGATGTCGCGGAGCAACAAACAATGAGCTCGAGCGTACTGTGGTCAGTGGTCACTTGTGGTCAGCTCAGCGGCTGGGTATGAGAATTACCATATTCGGTCATCAATTTGCAACCATTGAACTCTTGCTTGTTCGCCCCGGGCCTTTAATATGATGAGCTCATAGACGTTCTTAGTGTCCCTTTTGGTGGGATATTATTGTCATCCCACTTTTTACTCACACGAGTCTCGCCAGTTGCGTTCCTCGCAGTTATGTCGCTGCTGCTGCTCCCTCGAGCTGCGGCCCATGGCATTGACGAACCCAACTTGAAAATATCGCAACTCTCCTTATCATGGCCTTACTTTTTTAAAGTTGTCCTGAATGTTGTGCACGATATCGATGTTACTGTGTTTGGCTAACAATGTGAACATTGCCATCTTGGTGTGGTGCAATATCAGTGAGTTCAATCTCGAAGTGGCCTTGCAGCTGATGACCTTCGAACCAGCAGCGCCATCGCAGGGTCTGCATTGGCGCTCACTCAAGTGTATCAGTCTAATTTGATAGATTACTACGCAGCACGACCAATTGAACGCAACCACCAGCTCTTCGAACTATCAATACACCTTGGAGTCTTGGACTATGGTTTTCATGGGACTTTGTATGAGCAGTATTATGAAACGTACTTAATGTCACTATGCCTGCTACATTTTCCATCGCCCCTTCGCGATCCTCTGGACTATCGGTACGGTCCTATATGTTCACATTGGTGCTACATCGTCCCTCATAGGCACCCCTCAACCTTGTGGTTCTCTTGCAAATTTCTAGATTTCTATTCCGTATTCATCATTAACATTTTCCTTGAAAAGAATGGTAGGTGTTGCCTATGAGCGACAATATAACAATATAAATGGGACCACACGAAAGCGGACGGGTGCACTGTTTCCATGAGATACAATCGATTTCAAGGCGCTCAGTGAGATGAGCAATCTTAATATATTCATGTCCGGAGAGTGGTGGAGTAATGTGCTATGCAATGATGTCGATGGAGTGCTATCCTGTGCTAAGTACCTGCGCTTGCTGCACCACCGCCCGAGCAGCAGACAATCGGATCAAATCACAAGTCCGTCTCCTCGAGAGACTGTTGAACAGACGATGTCAATCATCTGGTTAGTTGGCAGGAGAAGCGATACTTCGCTTAGTTGTATTGCATCTTCCTTTTGTCGATGGATAATATTTATTCGTCTGCTGTGATTTGAGACGCTGCATTCAGCCTCCAAGCATCAGTAAATTCACACAATCCTTGAGTCGTTCTTCATAGTGCTGCCGTGGTCCGGTTCGGTCCGGTTCACAGAGGGTCGAGCGAGGACCAAGAACCGGACCTAGGTCCGGTTCTACCAGACTCGACGAACCTCGAACTGGACCTTGGTGAACGGTTCAGAATGGTCAGGTCCGGTCATTTTCAGGTTCGAACGTGAACCGAACCAGATTTATTTACAATGAGCAAAAAAAAACATAGGTAGGACTCCTACTCATAGCTACACATCCAACAAGACAGCTGCTTCTGCCTCGACTGTCACAGAAACATGGCCATTCCTATATGCCGCCTTTAACAACTGTAGCGAGCCAAACGTGGATGACAAAGCGACAAAGAATAGAGGAAATACTCTGCATGTATAGTGTCATAGAAGACTCACGACTCTTCAATCCAAAGGGACAGAGTCAAACACCATATTTGTGCATATATAGGATCAACTTACGTGAGAAGACCCTCCAGCGGCATGGCATTCGCTTTCAGAGGAGCAACGACGATCTCAGCCGAGTTTCAGCGTATAGTCAAGCCAGTACCATTTCTCAAATTCGTCATCTAGCCACGGTGGTTGGACATCTCGAGGTGAATGAAAGTTAATATCAGCTATAAGACCGTTGAAACACTGATTGAAACAAAAAAATAAGAATTTAGTTGTGGTATAATTTTAGTACAGCTCACTCAAGGACTAGTGACGTTCCGGCCCGGCTTGGGCTCAAAGCCCCGGCTTAGGCTTGGCCTGGGGGGGCTTAGGCTTGCCATATTTCAAGCCTAGGCCATGAGCCCAAGCCAGCCCAAAGCCGTGGCTTGAGCCGTACTAGGCCGCGGCTTGGTGGTATGCAAAATGTCGCTCCAAAGAATGCGTCGATATCAGCAGTTTTGCCTTCCCAAGACAATCCTGGGTCCGCAATAGAGACATCAATGTCGATGAGAACCCCATCTCCATCAACCAACTCGGGGGACTTCTCTGGGGCCTTCTGTTTCTTTCTACGAGGCTTAGGGTTGGTACGAGCATTCTCGTGGACTGAGTCGTGGTCTTCGTCGACAGATTCATCTTCGATGTCGACAAAGGCATCATCAGGATGCAAGCGTTTGTTGGATGAGGGAATAGGTGAGGGTGGGGGAGGCACGTTGGACGAGGAAATAGCTGTGGGTGGGGGAGGCACGGGCTTGGGTTGGGCAGAAACCTCCAAAGCATGCTTGGCTGCCTCCGCGGCACGGAATTCATTGATGGCTTTGGTTTGGGATGGAAGGGCGGCCTTCTCCGAGTGTTGGAGGAGAGCAGCAGTGGGTTTGATCCTGCGTATGGGACGAGAATGCACGATAGGTTCATCTTCACTATCTGTGTGGACTGTGCTGGTCATTGCAGGCTGCTAGGTAGATACAACACATATACACGTACCACATATAAAAAATCGAACGTGGTTCAAAAACAGATTAAGTTTGCGAAGGCAGCGAAGTTGAAGCGCCAGGCAAGACTGTAAAGGCGCATGGATTGCTGAATGTTTGCTTTTCAAGACCGGGGTAAATATCAGCGAGCTTTAATAACATGACAACGGCGACTCACTGTGATCTCATTCTGACATACCTCATGGTATGATTGACTGAGAAGCTGATACCGATCGCAAGATGGCAACATAAACATAAACAGAAACTTACATACCGAAATAGATAGTGCACTGCTAAGCCACGGCTTGGGCCGGCGGCTTAGGCTTCGCAAAATTGAAGCCTGGGCCAAAGCCCTGGTCAGGCCGTGTCCTGGGCCTGGGCTGGGCCTGGCTCAATCAGGCCCGGCTTGGCCTGGCCCGGGGCTTGAAGCCGAGCCGGAACATCACTATCAAGGACACTCCGGCATTTTCCCATCATTGATAGAACAACTATACTCATGAGCTAGGGATAGCGTCGGACTCCTGTGAACAAAAATCCAATTAGTGTATAAGAGCATGGTGAAGAGCAGACGCACCTTCTTGTTGGAAATAAACCCTCCCCACTTCACCACGGGCACTCATTAAATGTCGTACTTTTACAGGACGCATGCCAGGAGGTATTTGTGAGATGTAGATTATGCCAGTGCGGGCTTGCGCAGCATTGAATGTTGCCAGCGCCTCAGGCGTCAAAGGCTGCTCGAACGAGGATCGACACTCACGAACTGCGAATGGTGGGCAATGATTTGGATCGGTGGGAGAGTTAGCACGAGAGAACGGGCACAAGAGGACAGGTACGAGATAGCAAGCATGAGAAAACGGGTGCAAGATAGTGAGCACAAGCGAAAGAGTTAGAGCGTGCATCAAATTAATTGAAGATGAAGTCACTCACCTGACACCTCAAACTCAGTGAGTTCGAATATACTGTTAAGAACGTGCTCAAGGGTCGGATCCGAAGGGCTTGGCTTCAGCTCGTGCGCTGCGCCCCTTACCCGAGTACGTGCCCCTAACTTCCGAAGGCTGTTGAACAATGTCCGAAGGTTACCGGACGATGTCCGGAGGGCGTCGGGCGATGTCCGATGCGCGGGAATTCCGGCGGACGTTCGGGAACAAGAGATAAGATTAATCCGGACGAAGTCCGAACTAGAAAGGAAACAGCGGAGGACTACCAAAGGTAGAGGCGGAGGTGATAAGTCTATAGGAGTCAATCCTAAGACGAGCGGAGGTTGACGAGAGAGAAACTCAAGTCGGACGGAGGA